TATATATATATATATATATATAAAATCTTAATAATTTAATATAAATAATTAATATAATTAACAAAATATATAATTTTTTTTTTTATGAATTATTTTAATATAAAGTTATTATTATATTTTTTATCTTATTTTTTTTGAGATATTACTATTTTTTTTACAATAAAATTTTTATATTTTTTAATAATATTAAATATATCTTACTCATCTAAATTAAATAAATACAAATTTATTTAATATCTAAATATGTTTTTTCTTATATTTTTTATTTTAATAAATGTTGAAATAAAAATTATAGTTATTATTCTTTAGATTATAATTGTTAAAATAAGAAAAATAATATAATTATTTGTTAAAAAGATATTTTGAATTATATTTACTTTTTATTAAATGTAATATTCTTAGTTATTAGAATTAAAAATAAAAATTATTACAAAATTTAAAATAAAGAAATAAGAAATTTGTTTAAATATATATATCATTAATTTATATTAAAATAGAATAAAATTAAATTTAGGATTTAATTTTTCAAAAATTATTAAAAATGTTGGTTTGATAAAATAATTTTTTGAATATTTCGTTAAATTTATATAAAGATTTTATGATATATATTAATATAAAAATATTATTAATTTTACTAATATTTTATTTATAAAATTAATATTATTTTATTATTTATTATATATATTATTATTTTAATATTTAAAATATAAAATAATAAAATATAAATATTCTATACTTTTATTTTTAAATATTTTACTTATATAATATTTATTTTTAATTTTAAGTAAATTACTATATTTTTTTTTTTATATTAATCTTTTATTATTTTCTTGTATTGTTTTTTTAAAAACTCAATAACAAAAATATATACTAGAAATAATGTTTTAATTTTTTTTTTTTATATATTTTATATTAATAATTTCAAAAATAAAAAACATTTTTAAAAAGTAATATATTATGTGCTACTTTTAGGTATTTTTCATTTATTATTATTTTTATACTACATTGTTTTTCTTCTGCTATTACATATTTATAAGTATATGTAATAGTTTTATTATTATTTATTGTCTAATTTATTCATTTTTTAAAATTTTTTTTTCAAAATTAAAATTATTTTTATATAAAGAAGATTTCTATTTTTCTAAATTTTTATTTTAAAAGGATAATTTTAATTATATAGAATATTAAATCTATATTAACAAAAATAATATAATTATTTCTATTTATAAATTTATAATAATTTAAAAAAATATTTCTTTTATTTATATTAACAAAAGTTATTTAATTTTTTTATTTTAATTTAATAAATTGAAATAAATTAAAAAAATTATCAACATATAAAATATAATATATTATTTATTATATTATTATTAAATTTTTGTATTTTACTTAGCATTCATTTTAAATTTTACTTAAAAAAAAAGTTTAGTGAATTAATATATCTTTATAAAATGTATTATAATTAATATAAATAAAATAATTAAATTAAATTAAATTAAATTAAATTAAATTAAATTAAATTAAATTAAATTAAATTAAATTAAATTAAATTAAATTAAATTTTTATATTATATAAAATTAACTTCATATTATAAAAAAACAGTACAGACAATTAAAAATGTTACGAAAATTAATATAATAGCCATTTAGAATATTTAATCCATAAATTATATTATTTAATTTTAAATACAATAACAATGTTTAAATGTTTTGATGTTACCTATAAATAATATATCTAATTAATATATATCAAATGAATTAAATATTAACATAAATTATAATCATTATATATTTCTAAATATTTTTATATTAATTTTTCAAGAATTCAATTATTTTATAATAATTTTTAGTTAGAATTTGAAATAATAAAAAATAGAAATTTTAAATATTTAATAAGAAAATATTGAGTTAATTGAAATTTATAAATTTGATAAAATAGTTTAAATTAAAAAATAAATAAAATTAATAGAATATATTAAAAAATATACATATAAACTTTGAATTGAAAATTGTAAATAATAATTTATAAATACATATATATAAAACACAAAAAATTATTTATTAATAATTAATAACATTGTTTATTTTTTTTATTAAAAAAAAAAACCGAAATAAAAAAAGGAAATAAATAAATAAATAACTGTCACCTCAAGTAATTATTTTTTGCTAAAAGTATACTACCGCAATTATTATTTTTAACAAATTAATCTTTATTAGATGGAAAAATATTCCAAAACCTCAAAGTTTCATCTCCTGCTCCTGTGACAATAGTCTATTCATCCGGACTCATTGTCAAATACAAGACTCTACAAGAATGCCCTGTTAGAGTAGTAATTTTATCCATTCCTGGTACACTCCATACTATGATTTAATTTTATGAATACCCATGTGTACTAACTAATTCATTTAAATTTTTGCTAAAAATTAAATTACAAACTTAACTTCCAGTCTCAATACACTCCAACTACTTCCCAGTTAGAATATTCCAGAATCTAATCATTCTATCTTAAGTACCTCCTCCAGAAACTAGCAATCCATGCTAATGTGGACTCCAAGCAATAGCTTTTATGGCTGCATTATGATTTGTGAATTATAGAAAAGGTTTATTTGAATGTTTATTCCATACATGAAGTCTATTATCATTACCACCTGAGGCCAAATATTAGTCATCAAAAGACCATTTTAAGCCACATACTTCTTGTTTATGTCCTATATATTTATTTTCGAACATATTGTTACATCTAATATCTCTTAAGAGTATACTTTTATCTCTTGAACCGCTTGTAACTACATTTTAATTCCTAAAAAAAATAAAAAAAATATGATTTTAATATATATTATTTTTACCATGCCAATGTTCCTACTCTTTAAGAGTGTCCTGTAAGTACTCTAACTTATTCCATTTTAACATTATCCCATATTTCTACATCTCCAGTATTAGTTCCTATAGCCACTAAATTATTTTATTAAGACCAATTTACTGATGTTACTTCATTTATTCTTCCAAAATCACATAATTTATTTACTTTAGATGAGCTAGCACTATTAATTATAAAAATATATATATGATATATATATATTTTTATTTTACCTCCATAAATATACACATTAAGTTAATCCTACTGCTAATACATTTTAATTAGACCAGTCGATTAGGTTTAAATAAAAATCATCTTATAAGGCGGGTGCGTCTAAAACTTTGAAAGGTGTTTTTGGGATTTTACGGATGTTTCTGATTTTTTGACAACAGGAATCATGTTAGGGGTTGTTGAAGAAATTATTTTAATTTAAAGGCGCGTAGATTTAATCTTTTATTAATTTTTGGAGGCCTCTTTTATATTTGAGAATATTTTGGTTTTTATAAGGGCAGTATATGTGCTATTAATCGGCTATTTTATGATCTTTGATACCTAATATGTAGTTTTTGTATAGTTGCGATATATTTATTTGGTTTATTTCTTCTTTATCTATAGAGTTTTTTATTTAAACACCATCTGTGTCTATATAATTTTCATTTTATAAATATTAATTTTCATCGAATTCTATTGCTTAATATGCCTGAAATTTAGAAGTTTTGCGGTTTGGTATAAAACGGTCTGCTGCTTAAAATTTAGTTGATGCTTTATTTTTATTGCTGATAATTTCAAGTGGTGATGTTTAATTAGATATTTGCTTTTTTTAAGAAATCATTATTTCTATGTCTTGGGGTATAGAACAATCTGTGGTTGATGATTAATTATCGTTTGGAGAATAAGACTCATTATATTCTAAAATTGTATCAAATTTTTCCATTTTTTTTATATTTTTTATTTTAAACTAGATTTTGATTTTTTATTTTTAATGGGGTTGTGTAAAAATATTTTATATATAAGTCCTTTATTTTTTTTATATTTTTCTTTTATTTTTTTTATTTAATATTATTATTATTTTCTTTATTTTTCTATTATATATATTTTAATTTAATTCTTTTATTGAAATTTTTAAAGTAATAATTTTTATATTCATATGTGGCTATATTTTTATTTTATTTAAAAATATAAAATCAACAATTTCCATAAATAAAGGCAAAAAATATATAGTAATACTATTTTTTTAAAAAATAATATATTTACACAACAAATTATTTACAAAAATAATATTAATTAAATAATTTTTTTTTTCAAATAAATATTATATATATTTTAATAATTATATAATTAAAAGATTTTTTTTAATTAAAACGAATAAAAAAACTAAAATTAAATATATATCAAGCAAAGTATTTATTAAAAATAAATTTATAAAAAATATTCAATATATAATTAATTTATAATAGAATTTTAATAATCATTTTATTTATATATATATTCATTAATTTCGTATTACTATAATTATTTATATTATATTTCTAAATAAAAAAATTATATTTTTTAATGTTTCTAATAAAAAATTTATATAAATAATAATTAATTTTATAATATTTAATTTATTAAAAGATAAATTTTTTTCATTTTATAAAATTTTTTTTTTTCAATAAATTAGGATAATTTAAATATTATTTTTAATGTTGATATAATTTATATTTTTTATATTAATATTTATAGTCAAATATTTACTATTTAAAAAATAAAATGTTACTTTTTAAAAAAAAAAATCATTTTTTTAGATAATGAGATATGTTTGTTTTTAAAATAAATATAATTTATAATTATTTTAATTTTTATAATAATATTTTATTAAAAGCCCTTTTAATTTCATGAAATAAAATTAAAATTGATACAAAACAAAATTAATAATTATTTTTAATATTTTCTGATTAGATTTGTCTATTAGTTGAGTTCGTCAAATTCCATATTAATGTTGTATATTTATAAAAATAAACAAAAAATGACAGAAATTTTAATATTATTTATAATTAGAAATATATTTTATACGAAAAATATATAAAATTTATTTTACTTTGATATATAATTAAAAATATTATTTATACATAATTATTCATTTCATTTTTAAAATTAAAAATACTTTTAAAATTTAATTTATTATATTTTTTTTATTTATATTCTTTTATTTTTGAACAATATTATTTAATTTCGAAATTTTCTTACTATTAAAGTTATTTTAATTTTAAATATTATAAGATTTTTTTTCCTATTTTATAAAATATATTATTTGTAAAATAATTTTTTTTTTTTTCTAATAAATAATTATCTATAAAAGCATAAAAGGTGTTTTTAAGAAATATGTATTAAAAATAAAATCATTTTTGATATAAATTTCAAAAGTTAATTTCATTCATTTTTAAATTTAAATTCTTATTCAAATTATATTAGAAATTAATATATTTTTTTGCATTTTTTTCCCTTTACTTTTTAATTTGTTTAAAACATAAATTTATCCTACTGTTTTTTTTCTTTTTTTATTAAACCAATTTCTTTTACCCTTGAAATTTTATTTTTTAATAAATCGCCATTTATACAAATATAAAAATTTATATTTAAATTATTTCCTCTAATATTATCTTAAATAATTTATTATTATTTTATTTTTGTATTTTTTTATACGAAATATTTTTTTTATTTTAATCATATTCATCAATATTATAACGAAAATAATTATAACCATAAGTTATGATGATTATTGAATATTTTATTCTTTAGTTTATATTATTTAATAATTTCTTTATTAAATATTTTAAAAAGTTTTGTTTATTTTATTCTAAACATCAATAATTTTTAATATAAAAACTAATAACGTATATAAGTTAAAAAAAAAAACTTAATTATGTTAATTTTAAATAATATATTTTTTATCAAAAATCTCCATTTTTTTAAAAGAATTTTTATTTTTTGCATTTTAAAAAATTGTTATTTTTGAAATGAGAAGATATTTTAACTTTTTTTCGATTTTATAAATCTGGTATTATTTATAAAATTCAAATTCTCGATTTTATATGATATTAACATTTTCGAATTCTTGATTTTGTAAAAATAAAAATCATAATTTCAAATATTTTTGTTTTGTTTTGAATAAATGGCTAATCGCTTGCGCGTTAAAAAAGTAGTGTTGCTTTAATATTTTATTATTAGTTAAATTTTTGAAAAATAAATATTTAAATTATTCATTTGATTTTTTTTTAATATATATATATATATTGAATTTTAATATGCTATATTTTTATTTAATTAAAAATAATTATTTTTAATATATAAATAAATTTTAATTAATTAAAAGTTTTTTATAAATGTTATCATAAAAATTTTTTATATAAATGAATAAAAATTATAATAAATAATTTATTCATCAACTAGTTTTTTAATTATTTGTTAAATATTTTTATCAATATTATTTTATTTTATTTTAAAAAATAAATAAGTAATGAAACAAAAGCGAAATTTATTTAAAGACTAAAATAATTTTTATTTTTTAATAAGTTTTAATATTATGATTAATAAAAAATCAATTAATTTTAATAAATTTTTTGGAATTATTAGATTATTAATTTAGTCTTATTTTAATCTAAAAATATTCTAATAATTTAGTATTTAGAATTTTAAAAATAGTATTTTTTTATTTATAAATTAAAAATAAATAACAAATAACAAATAATAAAAATAAAAATAAAAAATATGGAATTCGAAGATTATGATTTGGAATAAGATAATGAAGATTCAAACGAAAAAAATAATTAAGAATTATGTCTTGAATATTTTGATTAAGAAATAGTAAAAAAAATTATATTAAATTTCATTCAAAAATATTATTAATAATATTTATAGATAAATGATAATATAAAAAGTAAAAAAGATGGTGTATTATTCATTTTAGATTGCTAAAAAGATTTGTTTATTCAAAAAGAATAAGAGAAAGAAAAAGTAATCAAAAATATATTTTTTTTTATATTATAATTATACAATTAGAGTTAATTTTAAATATTTATGGAAACTTTTGTTTAATTTATGAAATCAAAGATAATAAGTTCACCAGATGATTTAATAGGTTTAATATTTTTCAATACAGTAAATAATAAATAATAATAAAAAAAAATGTTACAAATTAAAATTAAAATAAGGAAAAGCATAATTATGAAACATTTAAATATTAATATTTAGTTTACGAATTATAGAATCCATCTGCAAAAATGATAAAATAAGCTTAAAAAATAAAAAACTATAATTTATTTCAAAAAAATTATGGTAATATTAATGATAAAAGATTATGTCCTTTAAATGAAGTTATTTGGATGGCTGGAAGTTTATTATAAAATTAGTGAATATATATAATTATAAAAAATATATATATAATTTTTTTTATTTTATTTTTAGTAAATAAATAGATTATTTTAGAAGAATTTTCATTTTTACATAAGAAGATAATCCACATTAAACTGGTTCTTCAGAAAGATAAAAATGTATTCATTAATCTTAATAATTAGCTTAGTTGGAAATATAACTGGAACTTTTTCCTTTAAAACATAGTTCAGGAAAAGTTTTTAATATTAAGAATTTTTATGAAAATATAATAAATTTAGATGAGGATGAAATTAATCAATTTTAAATTGATACTTCTTAAAAAATATTAGACTTATAAACTAGACTTAGATATAAAATGTTTAAGAAAAGGTAGATTTTTTTTTATTTTATTTTAAAATATTAAAAAAATATTTTAAATATAAATAAAAGAAGTATAAATAGAATTTTATGGACAGTAGGAAATGATACAAAAATAGGTGCAAAATTATATTGCTTTTATAATAAATAGAGAGTTCCGGTTCCTAAAAAAGTCGAAAAAATAACAAATAAGCCTTTAAGTTAATTAACTAAAAATATATGTGCTGAAACAGGAAAAGAATTAGAGAAAAATTAAATTGGAACATGTGTTATATTAGGAAAGGAAAAAATTAATATTTAAAAATAAGATGTGGAAAAAATAAAAAGTTTATAAGATACAGGACTTATCCTTGTAGGATTTAAAGATTCTTAATTTTTGAAAGAATTTTATAATTTTAAATAATCCTATTTTGTTTATCCTGATGAAGAATTAGTTAAAAGGTTTATTTTTTTATTTATTTTATTCTAAAAATTAAAAAAAAGGATCAACATAAATGTTTGATGCTTTAATTAAATAAATGAATATATAAGTAATATATATATATATATATAAATATATATATATATATATTTATATATATATATATATAAAATATATATATATATATATATAAACTTTTTTTAATTTAAAATATTTTTAAAAAACAACAAAAAATTAAATATTTATATAATTTATTTAAATATATTATATCTTATTTAAAAAATTTCTTATATAATAAATAAGAAATAAATTGCTGTTACTAAAATAATTGTTAGAAAAGGTTCTTAATTAAGATTTGCAGTTCTTTTACCTTAAGAAGAAGAATATAATTACAATGATCATACACAAACTCCTCCTGGATTTCATTTAATATTTTTACCTTATGGAGATGAGATTAATAAAATACCTACTTTAAAATAAAGAAAAAAAAATTTAGTTTCTATAGAAATGGTTTTTTATTTTATCTTTTTTAAAACATATTTAATCTATATTGTTTTGAATATTAAAAAAATATCATTTAATAAATAGTTGAAAGTGACTTAATTATTAATTAATGGATTAGAAATAAAAGATTTTGATTTAAGAAATTTCGAAGATCCATAATTGTAGAAATTTTATTCACATTTATAGGCTCATGCTTTGGAAGAGGCTGAACCTGAATAAATAGATGATTTATTGTAACCAGATAGTTAGAAATTAGAAACTTATTCAGAAATGATTAATTTGTTTAAAGATTGCTTATAAATAGAAAGCGAAACTGAAAACAATTAATATTTAAAACAATAAAAGAAAAGAAAGTAAAAATTAAATTAACAAGAATTATATGATTAAAAATCAAAGAAATCTAATAAAAGTAATAAAAATGTTTTTTCTGAAACTTCGGAAAGTGTTTAAATTATAAATTAGTCAAATACTAGTACATGTGATATATAAGAAAATTAGAATAATGCTTAAAAATAAAATTGTTAATAAAAATATAATTCTAAACAAATAAATGAAGATAATGTAATTTTAATAGACGATATAAGTAATTAATTTTATATTATATTATAATAATTTAATTTTTTTTAAAAAAAGTAAATGAATAAAATTAAAATTAAGAATTTTGTAAAAAAATAGAAAAGCAATTACTTGAAAATTAAGTAAAAAAAAAAACATATAATAAAATTTATATATATTTTTAAAAATAAGGATGTAACAGATGAAGAAATATTAAAATATATAGAATATAAAAAAATAAATATATGAAAATAAAATAAATAATTTTATGTTAATGTATATAAAATTTATAATTTATTAATTTTTAAATAAATATGTATATATATTTTGTATATGTATATGTATATGTATATGTATATGTATATGTATATGTATATGTATATGTATATGTATATGTATATCAAATATTTTCTTCAGTTTATCTTGAAGTTTAACCTTCTAAAATATTTGTTACACTTCCCATTTAATTCCTGAATCTTTTTGGCGATGTATCTTCACTTAATTTATTTTAAATACAATTTATACCTGAAGTTGGTATTAAATTTAATAATCCTGATTATTTTTTTATTTAAATATTATTAATGTTATTTTAATCCCCTTCTTCATCAGTATTTTATTAATTTATTTTTAAAGTTTCCTTTTTGTTTATAGAATTTATAAATTTTATATTTTTATCATTTTAAAATTATTTATTATTATTATTATTAATATTAATATTTATATTATTATTAATATTATTATTATGTTTCGAAAATATATTTGAACGCAAATTTGATGTGTAACCTCTATAGATTATATATATTTTATTTATATTTTTAAATATATATATTTTAAAATAAAATAAAATTACGGCAATAAACCTTATTTTTCAATATTATTTTAAGATTAATCTTAGTAAAATTAATTCTATTATTAATCATTATCATAATCTTCTAATTTTTGATCTGAACTAATTTGTATGTTTGCGTGAATAAGCCTCAAATCTGGTTAAACATCAGAAAGAAAATCTTTTTTAGATTAAGATAATATTCTATTCCTCATTGCACTATGTCTCGACCAAGAATTTAAATAATCAGAAGGTGATAATATATCCTATTAATATTTTAGAAAAGATTCCATCCATTAGATTTAATCATATTGTCTTTTAATTCTAATTAATCGGCTATTAAAAGACTCATTTTTTGTTTAGTTTTTTCTTATAATTATTCAAGCGCTTCTTATAATATTTTATATATTTATTCTTCTATATTGCTTGCATTAATATTTATTTCTCTAAAAAAAATACAAATATAAATTAATACTAATTTATTTATTTTTTATATTTTTTACTTAATTTTCATATCAATTTAATTTAGTTAATCTGATAATTAATTTTTCCTTTTTTCTAATAAAGGATCGAATTCTTTAGATTCAGACATCGCTTTTTTATGCGCTTCTTGGATTTTTACTAAATTATGCCCAGCAGCCTCTCCTTAAGAATGCGATCCTTAAATTTTGCAATATACACATAATAATTAATGGCATACAGTGCAATAAAGTTCTATATTAGTATCCTAATGGTTCATACATAATCCAAAACTTTTTGGTTTTTATTAAATTTTTATCCTAATATGTTTGTTAGCCAACTTTCCGCCTTTTAAATGGCATTCTTCATCACAATTATAACATAAATTTGCCTCATCTTGTTTACAAAAGAGTTTATCTTCGTTATCTTCACAAACATCACATTAAGGAGGATTTAGTTGCTTCTCTTTTTCCTCATTAAATTCGAATTGTATGATGTACATGGGAAGGATTTATTCGTTCTTGAAAAGAATGTATTTATGGCGGAAGATACCACTGTTTCGGTCTTCGTCTTCGTCATATAGGTAAATACTATCGAAATCTGCCGGAAGTGTATAATTTAAACTTTTCTAATAATCCCCATTTTTAAAAGGCACACAATAAGATTTACCTGATGCAATTTTTAGCATTAAAACTTCATAGGATTTATTTTTGTTATTATCGGATAGTTATATATGGCCTGTAGGAAATATTAAACCAGTGTCTTTATTTGAAAACTCAAAGCCTTTTTAACATATTTTCTATAAACTGGTGTTTTCTTTTAGTTTACAAGTCTCTATATAAGAATCTAGTATTAATAAATTTTTGTTGTTTTTGTCAAATTCGAATGTTAGTTTAGGATTAGAAATACTCCAAATATGCTTTACTAGGGCTGTTGTGGAACCTAAGCCGAGTTGTAGATCATATTCAATTTAATTCCATTCATTTGAGTTTTGGGATAAACGAGAATATTTGTTTAAAAAATTCTATTGTGTGTTGGTGTTGTAGGACATTTTTATTTTTTAACGTTTTTATTATTTTATGAATTATATATTAGGTATATATATATGGTTTTAATTTAATGTATTTTTAATAATGTATATATATTTTTTTTATTATATATTTTTATTTAATATTTTAGTTTTGAAAATTTTCGTATTTTATTTTTAAAAAACTTATTATTGAAAATATAAAATAAAAATATATATATATATATATATATATTATACTCTTTTTTATAAATATATATTCCTATTTACTATATATATTTTTAAGTTTTTCTCAATTTATATCGGGAAAATTTTCTTGTTCATTTATTTATGCTTATTATCTTTTAATATATTAGTTATTTTTATTATAATATTTTTATTTTTTGTTATAATATTTTTAATTTATTTAAGGTCTATTAAATTATTATTAAATCTGGTGTAATTGATTTTTTTAAGGCCTCTTATATTTTTGCTGTTAAAAATTCTAATTTATTTAAAATTATGAATAGTTTATTTATTACATGTTTTAAAAATATTACTGTTAATATAATAATTATTGCATTTAAATTATTTAGTAAAATTATAATTATTACTAATTTTAATATTATAAGTTAAACTATTAATTTTCTTATAATTTATTTAGTGATTTTGGTATTAGAAAATTATTGAATTATGTATATTGTTTATAAAATTTTATATTATTATCATTATTATTATAATTATTATTATTATTATTTTTAATATTATTATTATTTTATTATTTTTATTATAATTATTAATATAATTATTATAATTATTATTATACATATTTAATTTTTATTTTTATTATAAATATTTGTATTTTTATTTATATATATATTTGCATTTTTTGAATTAATCTTTCTTGTTCAATATAACAATTTATTTCTTCCTCCTTTTTTTTATAATATTTTTTTTTTTATAAATAAATAAATTTATTTTTTATCTAAAAAAAGAAAAAAAAGTTTAATTGTATCTTATTCTTATTCTACTTATACTTTTTTTTTATTATAACTATTATTTATTTATTTGCATTAATTTTATCCTTTAAAATTAAAAATAATTATATTTTTTTAAATATTCTAAAAAAAAAAATACAGCCTATATTTAGAATTCATTTATTTTATTTTTAATTTAATTAAAGAGATTATCTATATTATAATCACATATTTATACAAAATATAATACGTTTCTTAAATTTTTCCTTATAGGGACTACTGTTTTATCCACAGGTTCATATATTATATAATTTTTTAATTCTTAAGAATTTAAAATCTTAATTTTTTGATTTTTTTTTTTAAAATTAAATAATATAATTAAAAAAAAAATACATTTTAAAATTATTCAAGTGTTAAATCTTAATTAAGACTTCTTTCACTTTTTAGTGTTCGATTGGAATTGTTAGTTTTTATAAATTATTAATTTTATTTATTAAATAATTATTTTTTGAAAAGTTTTCTTATTTAAATAATTCCTTTATCTAAGTTCTTAATGTTAATGAAAGTTATATTTACTTTAAAATTACTTGGTTTATAAGAATTTACTAATATTCATTAGATATAATCATATTTTTATATTATTTTAAAAGTATATAAAATTAATTAATTATTTGATTTTTTAATCATTAAAATATAATATTTTTTTAAAAAATATTACAAATAATTCAAATATTTTAAAATTATTATAATAATTTATTTTGTATTATATTATAATAAAAAATTGTTATTTGTATATTTTTATTATATTTATTTTTTATAGTAAATTTTAATTAAATTAAAATATATTTTCTATTAAATATTAAAATAAATGTTTAATAATTTTTAAAGTTAAAATTAAATTGCTATTCTGAATTTTAAAAATTAAATATTTTATATTAATTAAAAATTATAAATTATAAATTATATAAATTGTATAGTTAAAACTTAATAAAAGATAATGTCGAATATAGGAAGATAATTAGTTTTCAACAAAAGTATTTTATTAAAAATTATAAATAGAGATATATGTTGTTTAAAAAAGCAAAAATTATTAAAAATATTTAATAAAATCTGAATAATAAAATTGCTTAAAATTAATAAATATTTTAATAAGAAAAATTAAAATAATTAGGATAACCAAATAAATAATTCTGAATTAAATATAAAATTCATATAAATTTAAATTAGTTGTTAATTTTTATTATTTATTTTTATTGTATTTTTTTAAAAAAAATGTGACCATTATTATTTTTTTATTATATTTTTTAAAAAAATTAAATAATCAAATAAAAAATCAATATGAACGATGAACTTATAATAATTTCATAAAAAATACTAAAACTAATCTTTAATTTTATTTGGAAAAAATGGAAATTAAAAAAAGGTTTTTCTAGAAAATAATTATATAACATAAAATATAAATATATAAAAAATCTTTAAAACATCAATTTATAAAAATAAATATAATAATGGGTGTGAATCAAAAAATGAGCAATAAAATATTGAATTAATAATTATTATAAACAAATTAAATACAAAATATTAATGTTGTAAATAATAAAAATAATTAATATATTAATGAACTATATGTTTTATTATAATTTTTATTTAATTTATTAATAATCTTTATAAAAAAGCAATTCCAAATTAAATAAATTTATGATATTAAACTAAAAATAAAATATATAGAATGCACTTTTAAATATAAATAAAAGATATAAATTAATGTAATTTGATATAAAAATTTAAATTAAAAAAATAAATTAACGTCAATGAAAAAAAAATATATATTCTAAAAAAATATTATTATAAATATGTTTTTAGAATTTAAAAATAAAAAATAAACTATATAATATAAAATGCTAATACAAAAAATTTATAAATATTATTAATATATATAAAAACTAAAAATAAAACTTTAATATATTAATAATAAAAAAAATATTTATATAGAAGACAAAAAATATACATTTTTTATATATATATATAAAAATTTAATATAATATCTTATTTATGTATATTTATATTTTATCATTTCCATTTTTATTTTGTGTAGTTTTAATAATTATATTGATTTAAACTATTTGTATTATTATTTTTATTAAATAGTAAATTATTATAAATATTATTATTAGTAGCATTATTATTATTAATATTTTTATTATTTTTAATATTATTATTATTAAGATTTTGATAAATTAAATTATTATTATTATAACTATTATTTAAACTCATTTATCCCCCAGGTGAATTATTTCTAAATTAATTATAATTATAATTTTATGAGTTTTATTATTACAATTAATTTTATTAATATAATAATAACTATTATTATTAAGATTAATATGATTATTGAAAATTTTATTATTAATTATTTTATTATTATTATTATTATTATTATTATTATTATTATTATTATTATTATTATTATAATATTTGTAATTTTTATTATTATGTAATTTATATACTATTTACTTTTTAATTTATTTAATTTTTATTTATATCTTTATTTTCCCTTATAATTGGAGAATTAGATTTTTATGGATCTTATTGTTTACATTATTATTCATATAATGAAATTTACGGTTTATCTTTTGTATTTTGCATTTATTATTTTTAATTATCATTTATAAAATTATTTTTTAAAGCATTACTTGTAGCCCTTATAGGACCGTTATTTTATTTGATTAAACCTGAATTATTATTCTTTAATGATTAGTTGTTTTAATTTTTTTAATAATTAATTGTAGATTATGGTTAGAAATGTATCAATGTTTTCATTAAATTATTACTTATTTAATTTATTTGATTCATTTATTCTTTTACATTTGCATTTATTTGTTTTGAAGATTATTACTGTTTAAACTATATATATATTTATGAATATGTATTTATTTAAATATTTTTATTACGTTATTATTTTAATTTTCATCCTGAATATTATTTAAAACTTATTTCATATTATTGTTAGAACCGTTTAGTGTATTACTAAAATTCTGTTAATTAGTTTATTATACATTTCTTTTTTATTGTAAATATTGCTATTGTTGTTGTTGTTGCTACTTTTGCTACTATAGCTGTTTCTACACTTACAAAAGGATTTAAAAATTAAAAATTTATCTTATATTTATATATATATATCATATATATTTTACTTTTTTCCTTTTATTTAATTGAAGGTGATTCTCCTCTTTAATAAGGTTTATAAGGATTTGTTAAATGACTTATATTTCCATTATTAATAATATTTTTTTTAATAATACTTTATTAATTTTTAATCTTATTTTTTTAAAAAAAATAAAAATTAATTAAAAATTAGTTATTTAAAAATTTTGGAATACTTCGTTATTAATATTTTAATTCTTTTATAGCAATTAATTATTTTACTAAGGAATATTTGGCCTTAAGTTTTATTTTAAGTCTTTTTAATTATTCGATGCACTTTAAGGTCTTTTTTGCTGGTTATTATTGTTTTCTTAATTTTCATCTATTTCATTTTTTACTTAATCCTGATTAATTTTATAAACATTTTAATTATAATAATTATTATTATTTTCGTTATTATTTAAAAGATTACTTTTAGGATTAATTGGACTATTAGATATAGGCAAATTAGTTTTAATTTATTTATTCTTTTCATTATTAATTTACACATTATTATTATTTATGATTTGATTTTTTATTGCATTATTATTTTAAGGGATTTAAATATTACTATTAATATTTTAAATTGGATTATTATTTGAGTTATTTAAAACGGAAGTTGTATAACTTCTTTATTTTAAATTTTCTTAATTTAAATTATTATTTGTATTTTAATTATTATTCATATTTTTTTGTTCATTTATTTATAAGTTTTAATTATTTGAAGATTATAAATAGGAATAATGTTTAGTATTTTTTTGAATTTAATTATTAATATTTGTATTTGTAGAATTTAAGTTATTTTTATTACTCATGACATTGTATTTTAGTATATCATTATTTTCTTCTTTTTTTAAATTTTTATTGCTTTTTATTTTAGTTAAAGTATTATCTATAAGTACTTACTTAAGAAGGGAGCCTTTTAAACATGATTTTGTATTTTTTTTTAATTTTCTATTCCCAACTTTTACTAATATTAATTATTATCATCTTGCCATTTAATCTTGCTTACTATTTATTTGTTTTAAGCTAAATAATTAGCCTAAGGGTTGCAAAAAATATCCGCTATAGGTCCGTTTTTAGCATTCATAAAAGTATTTCTAATTAAAAGCTCTTCACTTTATAAATCGTTTACTTAATCCCAAGAAGAGTTTTTTAATCCATTTAATTATTTTGTAAGTTTTTATTCTAAAGTGGTTAGTTAGTGGAAAAAACTTGCTCTTATTTCTAAATCAGGTCTTCTTGTATTTAGGAACTCGAGTGTTTTATATAAAGTCCATTTGAATCTTTTTTTTATTAATTATATAATAAAATTATATTATAAATATTAATATCGAAATTTTTTATTTTTTTTAGAATTATAAATTTATATATAAATTTTTACTTTTTCATAAAATAAGCAGCTAAACAACAACAAGATCTAGATTAGCCTTTTACGGAATGAACTAATGTACTTTCTCCTTATTCTTAACTTTCTTGAATAAATTTCATTATTTAATTTATATTTTCATCATTTTAATCAAATAATTACTTGTTTTTTTGTTAATATAAGTATTAATATATTTTTTATATGTTTTTGTTTTTAATTTTATGTTTTTTTTTTTGCATTTATTCATTTTTACTTGTTAATCATTCTCTTACCAATAAAAAGATAAATATTTTATTCCTACGTTTTCCCATAAATTTTAATTTATAAACCAGAACAATTGATTATATGGGTTACTTTATTAGTTATTAAAAATTCTAAATCCTATATTTAATTTTATTAATTTATGTTTTACACATATATATATAATTTTCTTTTTATTAAAAATACTTTAGCAGCAAATTCATCACCAATAAATAAACCGTCCTTAATTTTTATTGCACCTATTATTAAATATTATCCTTGATCTTATTATTGATTTTAAAACTCTTAATTAATCATAAATGCTTATTTTTATTATTTTATTTTCTTGATATTTTTTTTTTTCGTTGCTAAAAAAAAATATAAAATTTTGTTGTTATTATTTTTTTTAAATAACTAAATGATTTCAAATAAAATATATATATATATATATATTTTTAAAAAACAAAATTCTTATGTATTAATTATATTATGTATTAATTATTTATTTTTTTTAAAAAAAAAAGAAAAAAAATAATAATATATGAATAAATTAAAGATAAAAATATATTAATAGTTTTTTTTAAAAAATAATGTTTATTTAATATAATGAATTTATTAGAAAAATACTATGTATATAAAAGTAAAAAAGATATCATTAAATTATTTGAAAATAAAATAAAAATCAATATATAATATAATAAATAGTAAAATAATATAAATATATATATATATATATATATATATATATATATATATATATATATATATTCAATATCTTAAAATATATATATTTTTTATATTTATATATTTAAAAAATATTTAGCTTAAAAATATAATTAATTTTTATGTGAAAGCGAAAAATAAAATAATTAGAATCTTATTTTAAAATAGAGATTTCTTTTTATTACTTTAAAATTAATATAAAATAAAAATATAACATATTTTAAATAATATTTATCATCAATTCATCCTAACTAATATGTTCTTTATTATTACTTTTTTTATTAGTTTTAATTTAAAAATATATTTATAATATATACATTGTGAAGAGGAACTAAATCTATCCAATCAGCCGCACTAAGAGGGAACAAACCTAAATTATACAATTTATACATACCTATTGATAAAATGATTCCCCATACTGCACAATACATCATTTTATAAGTTAATAATTAAATTCCTTTTCCTTCATACTATTTAAAAGCTATTTTTTTTATTTAATTAATTAAAAAAAAATTTTTACTTTCATCAACCATAAATAAGTTTTTCAATGGATTATAAACATTTTAAAATGTAAAAAATATAACAAAAATATTTAAGGTATTTCCTATCATATAATTCATAAATAAGGCCATCAAAACTTATTCTTTCCCTTAAGTTGCAGTAGCTTGTATTTTCTTTTTTTTATATAAAAAAAAATATAATCATATTTTTATTAAATTATATTACTTTTTCTAACATTTCCTTTTGAATTTTTTCGTTATTTTATATTTAATCCATCTAATTTTATATAATATTTAATATTTTTTATCATTTTTTTTTTTTTTTAAACTTCTCCGATTGTCTTGCAATATCCAAAAGGTTCATTTACTTCCTTATGTTATTTATTTAAATCGAATTCCCACTTTGTCATTTTTTACTTTTTAATTATTTTATTTTATTTTAATTAAAAAATTTGAATAATCAAGATATTTAGTATTATTTTTTTTTAAAAAAAAAATATATTTTATTTATTTCTTGTTAATGTTTTTTTTATAATTCTAATTAATATATTTTTTTTAATAAATTTATATTATTTAATTGAAAAATAATTAAATAAAAAATAGTATATAAATGTATATTATAAAAAAATTAAAAATAAGTTATTTGATTTTAAGATATATTCAATAAAGCATCTCTTATTTATTTATATAATACCAATCAGATATACATAAAAATACTTTCTTTAAAATGTTTTATTTAAATTAATATTAATATTATTTTAATTTTGTAATTAACATATTTCTTATTCTTATGGAAAAAATAAATTCTTAATAAAATAAAAAAATTACTTTTATTAATCTAATTTAAATTTTTAAAATATTAATTTTCTTTAATTTCCTTGTCATCTTTTATACCCAAGCTTAAAATTCTTTTTTATTCTTTTTTCCTTTTAAATTATTACTTCAGGAGCTAAATAAACAACAGAATCTAAAAAAATGTAGAATTAAAATAAAATTAATTTTTTCTTTTGACAACCAGAAATCTGTAAATTTAATATACCATTAAACTGTTAAAACAATATTATTTCATGATATATAATATTATTTGTAAATAACTCTACTATATAACTATAAGTATTTTAAATAAATATTTAATTGCAAATTCTTCTTTAAGACAATTTTTCATAACTTAATATATTTAAATATAAACAAAATATATATATATATATATATTTTTCTAATAATAAATTATATAAATCACATCCTGCAATAATATTTAATTATTAAAATTAAAAAAAAATAAGTTTAGAAATAATAAGGTTTAATTATAAAAGGAGAATTGAATTTTAAGATTATATTTGTTTTCCATAAATTATATTTTGGTTTTTTATAATATATATATAATTTATTTTTATTTAAACTTTCATATAGTAATGATTTTAGTTTTATTTAAACAAATATATATTACAATGGCTAACTTAATAAATATGTTTAATTATATTATGTAATTCATCTCCATATTGCTATTTTTATATTAAGTTTATTATTATATATTATTGTTAAGTTTAAAAGAACTAGATTATTTTCTTGTTTAATTTATTTTTGTAATTCAAAGAGATAATTTTTGGTTTTTAAATAATATTTTATTTTTAAAAAATTAGTTCTTTTAAGTTTTTAGGAGAAAAAATAATGTTTTAAATTTATATTTCAAACATATATATTGAAAAATTTATTTCTTATAGCCGTTTAATGCGGGGTTTTATTGATTTTTTTATTTATTTTAAAAGTTGATTATTTAATGAATTTTTGATTTAAAAATAATTGAATTTATATATTTTGCTATTTATATTATTATAATTTAATTTTTATTTTATAAAATTTATTTCTTTTTTTATTCTAAAGTTAATAAAGATATTTTAAATCTATTATTTATATTAGTTTTATTTTTTATTACTTTTAATTTATTAGTTTAAAATTAAAATCGGTTAAGCTTTTGATATTCTTTATTAATAATTTAATATTTTATCTTTTATTTAATATTTTTGTAAAAAGTAGTAATTTAATTAAAAGTTGAAGATATAAAAGTTAATTTTAATATTAATTTTTTTGATTCACATTAATATTTAATAAAAAACAGTTTATATATACTTATGTGATATAATGTTTTTTTTTAAAAAAAAATATAATTTTTTCATGCATTAAGTAAAAATGATAAATTATTGTGAAGTATTGCTTAAAAATTATCTTATTTATTATTATATCATTATTTATTTTATATTTTATATAGATTATATAATATTAAAAAATCTGTTGATGTAATTATCAGTTTTTAAGTCTAAAAAAAGACAAAAATAGTTTATAAATATAACATTTGTTTAAATAAATGTAGTTTCAATATTAATTAAGGAAATATATAATTTATAATAAGGTTATAAATATAATTTTAATATAGTAAAATTGAATTTTAGTAAGAATCTTTTAAGATAGGGTAAATTATAAAATAATAATAAAAAATTATTTAATATTAAAAAAAATAATTGTATAAATATATGGATAATATTATTAAAGAATTTTATAAATATATTATAAATTAGAAATTAAATACAATAATATAATAAATAATATTAAATAAAAATTTTTAATAATTTATTCAATTATTTTATTTAGATAAATTGATATATTAATTAGAAGAAAATTATTATATTTATATATAATATTACTTTATATTTTTATTCATTTATATTTCTTCTAATAAAAATATAGATAAAAGATATAAACTAATATATTTATGTTATACTAAAATTATAATAATTAAATACTTTTATATTAAATAAAAAATAATATATAAATATATTTAAAATAAAAAAATATAAAAAAATTATATAATAATTCATATTTATAATATAAATAATTATATATATATATATTTATATATTTGATTTTGTTATTAAAATTAAAAGAAATTTTTTTTTTTATAAAAAAAAAGAATAAAAAATAAATATAATAACAAAAATTTATTAATATTTAAAAAACATTTTAATAATATTATATATATATATTTTTTATTTATACTTTTATATCATTATATATAATTTTTTTTTTTAATGATAAAATTATTGTAAATTCAAATTAAAATTATAAATATAAAAATATATAAAGAAATATAAATGAAAATATATAAATATTAATATTTATATATATTTATATATTTTTGTTTTTATTGTATTAATTTTTATTTTTAAATAAATATAAATGATTAATTTTTATTTAATTAAATATTTTTTTATTTTAATATAAATAAAAAAATTATATTTTATTTTAATTTTTAATTATTTATTAATTTTTTTAAATATTTTTTTTATAAAAATCTATTTTCTATTATATTATTATTAAATAATATATAAAATATATATTAATAATTTTTTTAAATTAATTAAAGATAAAAATTTATATTAAAAAATATTTTTATAATATATAAAATATATTATAATTTTGTTTTTATTTATTTCTTATAATATTTCAATATTAATTAAAAAATTATATATTATCTTTTTTTAATAAAAATAAATAATATTAAATATATTTTATATTAAATATTTTTTTTTTATTTAAATATTTAATACAAAAATATATATAATATTTAATTTATTGATAATTAAATTAATATATTATAACATATAATTTTTTTTAACAATTTTTTTCTTATATAAATTTATGAATATAGTGTTTATAAATTTTTAGTCATTATTTTATTATATTATTTATATACATTTCGATTAAATTAATTTATAACACTTTAAATATAAATAACACAAATAATATTTATATATAAAAAAAAAATTTTGTTATAAATAATATATTTTAATTTATAATTATCAAAACTTTTTTGATATATTTTCGTATGTATTTTATTTTTTATTTTATTATCTGTACTAAGATTTTTAATTTATTTTTATATCCTCATCTATATTCTTATAAATTATTTTAAATGAATTTTATTTCCTTATTTTATATATTAATTTAAAAAAAAATATTTATTATAATAGTATATTTACTCTTTTTTTATTATATTTTTCCCTGTTTTATTATTATTATTTTGATAATCAAATACTGTTATATATTAATTTATTTACTTATATCCCTATTCTTATTTATCCCATTATTCATCTTTATTTTTTATTTTTATTTATATTTTTATATTTTGAATATTTAATTGCATTTTAATAAATTAAAAATTACTAACATATTCTAATGCTTAATCTTCATTTATATAATATGATAATGGCTATTGAGGATTTAAATTTTAAATTTATATTTTTCTTTTATTAATTAGAAGTTCTAAATATTTGATTTTATTTTTATTATCGTTTTCAAATATTATTTCACTAAAAACATTATAATTATTATCTCTTGAATTTAATTCAGCCATATTTATAACTGTTTTTTTTTTAAAAATTATATATATATATTTGATTTATTGATTTCAATATATATATATATATATATATATATATATATATATATATATATATTATAATTTGGTTTTTTTTTAATTAAAAAAAAAATGAATTAACATTTTTAATATAATATAATAAGATTTATTTTGATTATATAACATATTTTTTTATTTTTTTTCAATTTTTAATTTTCGAAAATTTTGTTTTATTTCTGTATGTATGTTTTATTGATAACATAATTTTTTTAATAAAGTCTGTATCACATTAAAAGAACTTCTCTTCATCCCATATTAGTTTTTAATCAAATTCAGGTTGTTTCTTTAATATATCAATACATTTTAAATGATTTATTTTACAAGAAGATTTATTTTTTGGGGTTAAATTTAATCCATTAATTATTTTTTATTCTAACTTTTCCAAAATTCTACATAATATCAAACTAATTTTTTTTTATATGTTTTTTTTATAATATTTAGTTTTACCCATCTTTAAATTCATTCATAAAAGGTTATGAAAAATCTAAATATAAACATAAATTTTTAAATCCAATTTTTTATAACCATTTTTTTATAATTTCAGAATCTTTTAATATAATATTTTGTAAGAATTTTTCATATATTAATAAAAAATAAAAAAGTAATTTAAAATAAAAAATATATATATAAAAAACCATTCTCGCCTTAATTCTAATCATAATTATTAGTTAAATTTTAAAATGAATTATTTTAATGCTAATTTGAATTTTATTCTTTAATATTAAGAGGTTAAGTTAAAGAATTCTGAAGTGATTTATTATGAATAATACTATAGGGTTCATCAATATTAATTTTATTTACACATATACTGTTATCCCGATTAATATTATTATTATTATTATTATTATTATTATTATTATTATTATTAATATTATTATTATTTGAATTATATCTTTAAAAACTTTTACTTTTTTCTAATGTTTCATTTTAAATATTATTTTCCAGTATTTCTTAATTATTCTATTAGTTTTAATTCGTTACTTTCATAATTGAATCTATTAAATATAAAATAACATTTTCATTACCATCTATAATTTAATTTTCTCTTATTTAATATATATTTGGCAAAATACCATTTTTACTTCGAAAAGTTTCCAAAAAACTTCTTACATTTGATACTACGGCAGCATTAGTTTACGGTCTCTTATTAATCCCCAAAATTTTTGTCTTTAAGGAATTTTATAAAATAAAACATAAAATTGCCCCTTATTTACAAACATTTATAAAACTATAAAAATCTTAAAAATTAATTCCGAATTCTTCTAAAAGTCCCTAATTATTTACAAACTGCATTATTTCTAATTATTAATTTCTTGAAAAGTTCAAGTTATTTACATTTATGCTATTGTAATAACTCTGGTTTAGCACTGCGTGAATTCCTTATGAAACTTTATGTGAACTAAAATTCTATATATAGGAACTTTCTTATAAAAGACTTACTCCATTATTTGTAGAAAGCATCAAACCTTTAATAACGAGCCAAAAAAGGTTATAATTCCCCTAAAAAATTTCCCTTTATCTCCATAAAAGGCTTATTTATACACAGACCTTCCTTGTGCGAATATTTTTATAAGCAAGTTCAAAGTTTTTATAGCATTCTAAAACAGAAGTAGGCTTTCGATGCATTTAATCTATTTTACACATTTCTATTCTAGAAAGAAGAAGACATATTAAAGTTCCATTTCTTATAGGATCTTCTATTATCGAATTTTCGGAAAAATCATGAGTGTATTTTTCACTTTTTCTTAAATATTAACTAAAACCTAAATTTTTTAACCATTATTTGATATTTTCAATTTCGAATTCTTGGATTTCTTATATGTTTATGAGAATTTTATTTGGGGATTCTTTTACATTATTGTCTTTTTATATATTATTATTCTTTTTATGGTCGTTTATAACTACACGATACTAAGAAGGTGAATAATTTTCTTTTTGTTTATCATTTATACATTGATTTGATAAAGATGTGTATTATTATTGATAATAAAGAGAGTTTTCTTCATTTTCGTCACCATATCTGTTTATTTAGCTTTGTTTTTTGGGTAAAATCTCACTTTGGTTTTAGAGAGATTGGACTATATCTTCATAGTTTATGGAGTTTTTGGGTTTTCTGAAGGAAGTTTTGTCATAATTAAGGGTTATGAGGGTGTTTTTTTAATATCTAAAGTCTTCAGGGGATATTTTATTATGATAGAAGTAGTATATATCGCTTAAAAATCCCCAGAATATATTTTCATTGTTTTAGATTTCCTTTTCTTTATTAAAAAAGCGAGGATTGAATTTATCAAATTGCTTAAAATAATTAAATATTATTATGTAATTTTGTCTTATTTATGTCTCGTTTTTACTTTTTCTTACTATCCCCTTTAGAAGATTATGTTTACTTTCTATTATATTAATTATATCAGCAAATAAAATACCATCTTTGCAAATTTTGGGTAATTTTTCTTCTAAATATGATACTTTTTTTAAAAGCTTAATTTCATATAACCAAGAAAGTATTTTTTCTTTAATTTTAATTTTTATTTCTGGTATTTCACATGTATTAAGTATTACACTTTGGGTTTTTTTTTCCTTTAGAATTTATTTTAAATTAATTTTTTTTTAGTTTAAATCCTCATCTATGAATTTCTAAGCTTATTTTAATTTTTTTTCTGAGTTTATTTTATTTTAGCTAAATTTTTCTATTAAAAAACTATTTTTTATTTAAGGAGAGCAATTATAAGAGTCAAAATGTTGAAGATTTTATTTGTTCTCGAAATTAAATTTATTGCTTAATATTTCTTTGATTTCTTGGTAGTTTTGCTAATTATATTTATTCCAAAACTATGGCATTTCATGGATTTTTTTAGGCTCTTTTTAAGGCTTAGAGTCTAATGTTTAGGGTTTTATTTCTTCTTTATATATAGGCTATTTAATTGAATATAAATGCGGAATTATTTCTTCTTATTCTTCTTAATAATTTTAATCTTCTTATTATATTTTTTATTCATCGTAAAGTTCTTGGTGTTATTCTGTTTTTGGAATATAATTATATTAAATGTATTCTTCTGGAGGTTCTTAAAAATCATTATCATAGTCTTCTTCTTTTTGGCCAAATTAAGGAGATAAAGTTTTTTAGTTTTCAAAAATTTTTGAATTTTTTGACGTAGTAGTCGCACTTGTAGGTAATGGTGGTTTCTTATATATACTTTAGAGGGGCTTTTGTTATGATTTGTCAAGTTTGTATAAATATTCGAATACATAAAGAAGATATTGGGGGTTTTCGTAAACTTCTTAAGGACCAAGTTGGAGATTTGGAATTTGGGAAAGTGCATGTTGGATGTTTTGAATTTTTTAATTAGATAATAAAGGATTTCGAATTATTTATTAAGTATATTGAGGATTTTTCTTTGCTAAAATCAATTCATAAACTAATTCACATAATATTATTCCTTTTTTTTTAATTTTATTTGTTTTGGATTTTTGTTTTAAAATATATATACCATCTTTTAATTGAAATAATGAATTTATTTAATATTTGTTGCTAAAAAAATTTTTTATCCATTCTATAATTATTTCTTCTTGTCTTTTTATTTTTTTAATATTAATAATTAAGATTTAATAATTTTTTATGGGAGAGAGAGAGGGAGGAGTGGAGGTTATTTTTTAATGATATATAATTGAAATAATGCTTTTATATATATATATTTAATTTTGTTTTTACGATATATTCATTATGCATTTTTTTTACTTTCTTTTTTTATTTATTTTAATTTATCAAAGATAATTTTATATAAAGTTTTTTATTTAAATTTTTTTTTTTTTTTGCTTTTCCTTTTAATTTTTTTAATTTTATCAAAAATTATTTTATTAATTTTTAAAAAAATTATTTTTGAATTATAAAATATTGTTGTTTTTTTTATTTATTTGAAGATATAATATTTAAAATACGATATTAATAATAAGATTTATTAAAACCAAAAATCTTAAATACTAGAAATTCATTAAGCAAGTTTAAATTTTTATTAAAAATAAGAACATCAGATGCAGTCCAGTTATTTATAAAAAAAAATTGCTATAAACGTATATAATATCAAAAAATAAAAATTATATTTTAAATAAAATATGAAATTTTTAAAATTATTTTTATTATTATATATTATTTTTAAAAAAATAATAATTTTCATAAAATTAAATTATATTATATATATATTCTACTTTTAAATATTTTATTAATATTAAAAAAACCAAAAAAATATGAACTATGTATTTATTTATTTTTTAAATAAAAACATATATATTAAAACTTGCATTATAATTCCTTTGAATTGATATAATAATTAATTTTTTTTTAATTATTATCTTCTAAATTAAGAAACTACCTTTTTAATTAGTATTTACATCGTATTAATATAAATAAATTCATGTATTTTATTATTTATCATAAATTTCAGTTATTTTTTCAGAAACAGAAAACTTTCCTTTATATCCAGTATTATTAATTTAAATATGAATGCAAATTTTATTCTATTTATTTTATTATTTTTTAATATTTCATTATAAAATAACCTTCTACAATTTTATTATTTTAAAGTTAATAGATAAGTTCATTAATTGGTATTAATTATCAAGTTTATGAAAAAAGTATTGTTATACACTAATCATCTATTATATTAAAACTAGCATTAATAAATAAAGTTTATATATTTGTTAAATTCATATCATTAATGTGAAGCTATTATATATATAAAATTAATAATTTTTAAATTTATTTTAAAATTAATAAAGTCATATTTTTTTTTTGATTTTAAATTTTATAAAAAAGTATAATTTTCTTGATTAAAATAGCTAAATTTTATTTAATTTATATAAATTTTTCTTTTATAAACTTTTTGTTAAGATGAAAAGTCTTTAATTTATTACAAAAGCTATTTAATTTTTCTATATTGTTTTTATTTAAATTTTTTTAAAAGAAACGGAATTATCATGGTTATTGGATTTAATAATAATAAATTTAATTTTTTTGTTTTGATTATTTTCTTTTTCTGTACAAAATTAATTAATTACATTAAAATAGAATTAAATTAATGGATTAAATCAACTGCTAATTTTTTAAAAAGTTAATATTATTATTACTTGCTTTATTTATAATATTTCTTTTTTTAACTAATAAATCTTTATTGTAATTATAAAATCCAAAATTTCTATAATTGATTTATTAAATGTAAATTGCATATAAATACTTTAAATCAGTATCTCTAAAGTTATAGATAAACAACTATATATGATTAATGATAAAGATATAAATTAATTAATCTTAATTATACTAAAATATTAAATTATTATATTATTAATAAAATTAAAAATCGAATTTATATATTTTTTAAAAATATTAACCTATAATTTAATTAATAATAACTTTATAATAAAATTCCTCTTTAATTAATAATATTAATTATAAATATGTTTAATAGCAAAATATAAAAATATATCATATATTCGAAATTAGCAATTTTATTATTACTTTATTAATTAATTTTATATAAGATAATTTTTTATATTATATCTAATTAAATATTTAATTTTAAAAAAATAAATTATCATTATTTTACATTTTTATTTAAGTTTTTCTTATTTTTTAAAATAATAGATTTCAATATAAAAATATAAATTTTATATATTCTTTAATATTTAATACTAATTATTAAGTTATAAAGTAAATTTTGAAAAAAATATAGATACAAATATATAAAATAAAATAAGATATATATTATATAAAATATTTTTAATAATAATTAAAATTTTATAATATTACTTAGTAAAATAAATTAAAAATCTTTATAAATTTTATATATTTAACAGTTTTGTTTTAATAATAATATTATATTTATATTTGTTTTTTAATTATAATATTTTTTTAACAGTAATAATTATAAAACTAACTCGAAATAATATTTAATAATTTCTATGCAAAATATATATTAAATAAATTAATATTATAATTTTATTTTTTAATATTTATAAGCTTATATTTTTTTTTTTATAATATATTATAAAGTTAAATAATTTTAACTTTAATGTAAAATAATTACAATTCTTAATAAAAGGAATAATTAAAATCAACTTTTAGTACTTTCCACAAAACAAATTTATAGTTATAGAATGAGCAAGAATAAATCCAGATTTTATAAAAATAAAATAAAAATTTTAAATAAATGATATAGTTTTAATAAATTTCTATTATAAAAAAAGATGAAATATATTAAGCATTAGTAAAAGAAAATATTTAATTAAAATAAGATAATGAAAAGCTTTAAAATTAAATTAAAGATTTATAAAGTAAATAAAATTTAATTAATAATTATCCAGTTAATAAGAAATAAAAATCATAAATTGTTGATAATAAATAAGTATATATTAATGAAGATGAATTTTAAAAAAACGAACCTATTTTATTTGATTCATTTGATAAATTAAGTCTCTAACATAAACAAAAGGATAGTAAGAAAAATTCTAATTAAGCTCTCAATTAACATTAAAATGACTTTGGATATATTACATCTGTTTTAGACTTTAAAACTAGTAAAAATGAATATATAATATATATTTTAAGGATAAAAATTATGGTTTTATAAAAATAACTTTTTTTTAAAAAAAAAAAATAAAACAATAGAAATGTAAGATAATTTGAAAGCATATAATGAAATTAAGCCATTATAATATATAAGAAGTATTTTAGTTGATGAAAAGAGCTTTCAAAAATATATGTATTAATTAAATAAATAATAGATAACAAAACTTTATGAAAGTATTACTTGTCTACTATAATCATCTGATATTTTTTTTAATATGACAAATAAGTTAAAACATATTATAAATGTGATTACAAACATAGAATTTTCATTAGACCTTTCTGAAAATTTTTAAACAATAGCTAAGGCTATTTGTAATGTTTTAGAATGTGATAAAGCCCATGTTTTTATTTCTGATTCGAATAATGGTGAATTATGGACTAAAATATCTAAAGGACTTGAAATATAAAAAGTTCAATTTGGTTAAGGAATAATTGGCCATGTAGCTAATAGTATGTAAATTATTAATATTATAGATGCAAATAAGGATATTAGGTTTAACCGATAAATAGATAAGAAAGATAATTACATTACGAGGTCTATGGTATGTATGCCTTTATTTGATAATGAAAACGGAAATTTATTAGGAGTTGTTGAAGCTGTTAATAAAAACGGCGGTTTTTTTACAAAAGATGATGAGGGTTATTTATAAATAATTGGAATGAATGCAATGAGTATTTTGAATAATTCCATAAATTTTTATGAGACGAGAAAAAATGAAGGGATTATTAAAAATATACTAAAAATGTCTATAGAATTAAATGAATGTAATAATATCAGTTAATTCGTTTTGGAAATTTGTTAAAAAATATAGGGATATTTGAATATTTAAGATGTTAAAATTTATATTTTAGATTAATAAAATAATAAAATATTTACATTTGATAATTAAGAAAATAAGATTGAGTTTGAAAAAAATAATGGAATAGTCGGATTTACAATTAATTAGGAGAAAAATTAGATTATAGATAATGCTTATAATCATGTAAATTTCAACTCTATTGTTGATATTAATACTTCTTTGCCAGTTTTAAATCATATTATTTGGAATACTAAAGGTAAGATATTGGGAGTTATTTAGATTGTGAATTAAATTGGAATATAGAATATTATCAAAAATAATAAAGTTTATATAAACACTGATTTAGATACTCATTTAAACATTATATGTGAAATATTAAGCTTCAGAATTTCTTAATTTTTAAAAAATATTTGAAAAATTATTCTTTTTTTATTTTGTTAAAATAAAAAATTATATAAATATATAAATAAATATATATTTATATATTTTTATATATATTTCATATATTTATTTTTATTATCAATCTTTATTTATATAATTATAAGTTTTATGCATAGAAATTGTTTAAAAGTAATAATTATATATTTTAAATCTTTTGTAATTCTAATTTAACATTAATATTATTATTAAATTGAAATAAAAGCTATTTTTTTATTTTTTTTTATAAATTAGGCAAATTTAATAGAAAGTATTAATTCATTCTAAAAAATTATTTTAGATAAAAATCATCTTTAATCAAATTTTTTTTCATAACATTAAGCAATCTATCTTTACCTTTATAGTTAGGCATAAAATTAATATCTAAATCTTGCTTTTAAATAAATCATAAATTCTAAACCTGATTTTTAGGTAGATTAATTTAAAATATCTATATTCTATTATTAATTAGCTTTTTTATCTAAACTCAAAATTTAGTTTTATAATCTATTAGGTTTTATAAAAATTAAGGATTTATTTATTCAGAATGATAAATATTTAATTATTAGTTTAATGTTTGTTTTGGTATTAAAACTTTTATTTTTATTAGGGTTGAAATAAAGAAAAACAATTTATATTTTAATCTCTTGTAATTTTTTTGTTTTTTCTATCAATAATTAATTGTATTTTTTTACAAATGTTTTAAAATAAATATAAATTACAAATATACAAAAAAAATATATTATTTTTATAAATATAAAAATAATCTTTAAAAAATATTAGACCTTTTTTTTTTTTTTTCTTTTTTTTTTTTTGCAAACAAAATGCATATTAATTATTAGTATATTGATTAATAATTTTTATTAACATAAATAGTTTCTTTTAAATTTTAATATTTATTTTAGTCGAAATTATAAATAATCGAAAGTAATTTATAAAATTTGTTATTAAGATATTTACAATTAAAATATAAAATAATTTATTAATAAAATAAGCACATTTATACAATATATTTGAATTATTTTTTATCAATTTAAAAAAAAATATATATATTTAAAAAAATAAATTTATTGGAAGTCAAAATAAATACTAAGAAAATAAGTTTTTATAATTTAAAAATAAAAGTATTTAGATTATTATACCTATTAAAATTTATATATAGAAAAAATTTATTTAATTTTATACATTTTGCTATATATATTCATAGGACTAATAAAAAATATAAAATTTTTTTTTGTATTTCAATTGTTTTTTTTTTGAAAAAAATATTAAAATTTTATAATGAGTTCAAAGAATAGAAATAAAAATAAAAAACAAAATAAATACGAAGAATAAAATTCTAAAGATAAAAAAAGACATAAAAATACGAAAAAAGTATAAAATTCGCCCGAATATTAAAAACATTTAAAAGAATTTAACGAATAGCTTAGTGAATATAATCTTTATATAAAAGATGTTGAAGGCGATGGAAATTGCTTGTTCCGTTCGATTTCAGATTAACTAGATGGAAATGAAGAGTATCATGCTTATTATAGAAAAATAGTAGTAGAATAAATAAAAAGTAATTAAGATTTTTTTAAAAACTTCATTTACGATATTGAATTAGATAAATATGTGAAAGAAATGTAAAATATAGGCACTTGGGGAGGCAATATGGAAATTTAAGCTATTTCTCAAGCACTTGGACATAACTTTATTATTTACACTAAAAATAGGCCTTTCATGGTAATAAAAGGAGTGTCTGTAAAAGGAATAACTAAAAAAACTATACAATTAGCCTATCATTATGAAGATAAAGAAGAATTACATTATAGTTCAATTAGAAATATTTCTGAATTAAATGTTTAATAAGAATTAAAAAATTAAGCGATCGAAATTTTGATTTAATAATTAAATGAAGAAGATAATAAAACAAAAAATATCTAAAATCAAAATAATAGGTAGGTAAATTCGGATTTGTATGAAGTCGAAGATGTTAGAGGAAAAAAAGAATAAAAGAGAAATAATAAAAATAACAAAGATAATTAGAAATATAAAAAAGAGAAAAAAATATATAAATAAGAATAAAACATTGGGGATTTTTAAGAAGAAAATAATAAATTAGGGAAATAATAATTAGGAAATAATATATATTAATAAAATAAAGAAGAAAATTCAAATCCAGAAATGGATTTTTATGACAGAAATAAAGTAGAAAAATAAGAATAAGACGAATTAAAATAAACAGAAAGTTAAATTAAAGATTTAAAAATCGAAGAAAACTAGAATGAAAACAAAATAGGAAGAAACTAAAAATGCCTTTGCGGTTCTAGAAAAGCTTATAAAAAATGTTGTATGTTTAAAGACTCATAAAATATAAAATAAGAGTAAAATAAAGAGAAACTACAAAAATAAGCAATTTTTATATGATTTTTCAAAAAAACTCTTCTATAATTAATTTTTTTTTAAGATAATAAAATTTATGATAATACTTATTTTTTAATAAAAAAATTAATTATATTATATATAAATTATTTTATTTGTCTAGATTTTATATTATTATTATATGATGATATATTTATTATATTTTTTATGAATTATTAAAAAAAAAAAATATTATTTAATACCATAAATTATTTACAATTTTTTTTTTTTAAAAAACAACTAATAAACACAAAAAAATAAAAAAATAAATAAAAAAAAAATTAAAATAAAAATAAAAAAAAAAAAAATTATCATTATAAATGTTTAGTACTTTTTCACCATAATAAAGCCTTTATTCAAGCAAATTATTAGTAAGCCCGACTGTAACTTATTCAAGACCTATTGAATATACTACAATTATTCCTGAGAAAATAATTATTGAACCAATTACTACTACGACATATATCTAACCATAAGTTTATTATGATGTAGTTGTGCCAACCTCCTATTCATATGTGACCCAAAATTTACCCGTATATAGCTACTTTGAACCTGTTTGGGAATAAACCACTTATTATTATTGAACGAAATAAATATTAATAACTAAAAAAAAACACTAAAAAAACTTATTTATTTTTTATTCGTTTTATGTGTTTATTAAATATGATAATTAACTTTTTTTTATTATTATAAATTAATGTCTATGTTTTAAAAAAAATATATTAAGTTTCTATTATTGAAATTAAAATACATATGAAAGCTTTATGAAATAGAAAATGAAAAAAATATATTTTGTTGTATTTCTTAATATTATTATATGTATTTGATCCATGGAAAAATAGAAGATCAGATATATTTTTTATAATATATAATCTTTTTTTTATATATTATATAGATTAAAAAAAAATAATCCGATTTTATCTAATTAAAAATTATGATGTTTTTTAAACATATATTATTTTAATGTTCAAAATTCTTTTTATTTATAATTCGTATTTAATAATTAATGCTATTTTTAAAATCAATACAATTATAAAAATAATTCTTTTTTTCTATGGAAATTAATTTTACTTAAATATAATAATAAAAATAAATTAATTTCAAAAAAAATCTAAATTATAAAAATATTATATTATTATTTATAATGAAGAAAATATCAAATACTTTAAAATAAAAAATAATAGTTAATTTTCTTATTTTTTTTATTAATGACTTTAGTATAGTTTTTTTTTAAAAAATATAATCAAATATTGAAAGTAGAATTTCCATTTTATTAATTTAGACTAAATTAAAAAATATTTTTTATAAGCCTTAATATAAATATATAAAATAAACGTATAAAGAAAATTAAAGATAAGATATTTTTTTTATAGATTTTGCTCTAAACCCATTCAACAAATAAAAAGAATATAAAAATGGAAAAAAAAATTAAGTAAAAAAGAAAAAAATTATAAATAATTAATATTTAAATTATTACTATTATTTGAATATTATTGATTAAACTTAAACTCTAATAAAAATAATAAATTTTTTTTTTTTTTTAATTATTATATATGCTATTCTATTAAATATGATATATACAATTTATTTTTATATTTTTGAAAATTTAATTCATTTTTAATAATAATCTAAAAAATTTTATAGAATTAAAATGGATGATATACCGTCTTATAATTCTTTAATTTAATGAATTTTTTTATCATATATTCCTTTTTATGCTCCAATTTCATAAATTATTTCTTTTGCTGCTACAGTTGTACAATCTTCATTAATCTATTATTTTTTTTAAAAAAAAAATATTAGTAAAAAAATGTAATATTTAACAAATGTAAAAGGTATATTTTCAGAAACCTATTGTAAAAATAATTATATTTCATTATCAAAGCTCTTTTTTTAAAAAAATATCAAACTTTATAATAAATAAAATAATTATTTTATTTAAAATAAAACCCTTTATAAATATGTATTTCCGACAATGATTCCTTTGCAATTTTTTTCTTTTATATATTTACTTAGTTTATTTATAATTATTTTGTTATTGCACATTTTTGAATTTTGATTAGATTTTAATGAATCTAAACACTTTTTTTTAAAAAAAAATTATTAAGTATTATTATTTTTAATATATATATTAAAATAACTTTGACTTATTTACAATCAGATATAGATACTCCCAAATATTTTTAACCATAATCTAATCCAAATATATGGACTTTATTTGGAATGCTTAACCGAATTTATTTTTAAATATATAATTTAAATGCTAAATTAGTTTTTAGCATATTTTAAAATATATCCAAAAAAAAATATATATTTATATTTAATTATATAAAAATTTTGGTGTTTATGTTTTTTAATTATAATATTAATAAATAATTTATTATAATTAGTTTAGAAAATAAATTTAATAATAATATAAGTATCTATTAGAAAAATATAATATTTAATAAATAATTGAATAAGAAAAATAAAAATTATAATTAGTATTTTTAAATAATAATATTTTTAATAAAAAAATAAAATATTAATTATAATTATAATATTAATATTTTAAGTTATTATTATTAATATTTGAAAGAAATTAACAAGTTAATAATATTTATTAATATAATATAATTATATCTTTTAAATATAAGATAAAGATTAAAAATTAAATTTTAAGATTTTTCAGTACAATTTTAAGATTTGTATATTAAAGTTAAGTGTATATTCGACTGATAAAAATACTCAAAATAAAAGAATTTCAAAAATGGTAATTGATTTAAAAATTAAAGTTATTTTATTAATTAAATTAATTTAATAAAGGTAAAAATATATTTTTTTATATATTTTTATTATTCAATAAAAGAATAGCACAATATATATATATTTTACGTTTTTTTAATAATAATATAATGAAATAATTATTATTAATATAAATCGAAATTATTTATTTTATCTATATTACTCTATATATAAAAAAATGTAATATATTTTTTTTTTATAATAATAAATTTCATTATATTTTATGTAAAAAAACGGTTTTCAAATATAAATTTGCTTTTAATATTGAAATATTTTATAAATATATAAAAGATAAAATAGGAGGATATATATTTATATATGTATGATGATTTAATTAACATTTTTTGATAAATAAATAAATTAAATCTTATTAACTTGCTATTTTTTAATAAAAATAAAATTATCTAAATAAGGTCAAATTAATTTATTAGCAATCGTTTCAAATAAAAAGATAATGATTTATAGCAATAAGATTTTTCTATTTTAAATAAATATATATATATATATTAGATAAATAAAAGAAAATTATAAAAAAAATATACATATAAAATATAATAATATAAAAAATATCTTATTCAAGATAAAATAAAAATTAAAATTAAAAAACATGACATAATTACAAAAACTTTTATTATAAAGTTATATATTATTTGGAATAATCATTAAAGAATCATTATGTAATTGGCTAATGGCATATTCAGAGATGACAAGTGCTTAATTTGATGATTCCGAAACATCAACATGGTCATAATCTGCGGTAAACTAATGTGCTAATATTAATTTGAAATTTATGGGAGGAGCTTGTAGTTTTGGAGAAGGAGTAAGTACTGAGAAAACTTATACTAGTCTTCCTCCACATTCTGAAATAAAAATAACTTTTACAATTTACTTTAAAGGTAATTAATAAAATAATATATATAAAAATAAAATAATTAAAAGGCGGAAAAACAATTTAAAATCCATAGTGGTTAAAATTATATTTAGATGAAAATCTTATAATGAATTCTAATGATGGCTTTGACTATACAGGACCTTCTAAAAGATGTTAGATGGATAATGAAGGACATAATGATGTATTACTTTTTAACCATGAATAAGCTCATTATAAGGATAATATGAAATTGAGATTTGAAGATACTTTAGAAGGTGATAATTGTGTTTAATATTGGGGAGTTCGTGATATAAAGATTTTTGTAAAACCTTGTCATTATAGTTGTGCTGAATGTAAGGATGACCCCTTCGTATGTAGTTAATGTCCTAGTAATTCTGTTTTGAACGTTTTTGAATAGTGTGAATGTTAGAATAAATATTATCCTACTTAGATTAGTCCTTTGAAATGTTCGGAATGTCATAATAGTTGTAATACTTGCTTTGATAAAAACCCTAATTAATGCTTAAGCTGTTAAACTGACTAGAATTAATTTTTACTTTTCAATAGATGTATTTGTAATTTAGGATTTAGAAGAAATTAATTAGGATAATGTGTTTAATGCCATAATAGTTGTAAGACTTGCTCAGGAGATTCATAAAATTAATGTCTTTCATGTTATAATTAAGCTAAATTGATAACTGATGGTTCAAATAGCTATTGCTAGTGTGTAGATGGATTTTCTCAAGCATTAGATTCTACTCTTTTCAGATGTGTAAAATGTCATTAAAGTTGTGCCGATTGTGATAAATAAAATCCTTTGAAATGCACTGTATGCCCTTACAATGCTATATTGAATAATAATCAATGTGTATGCAAACATGGATTCTATTAAAGATCGAGCAATCCTTTAAGGTGTGATGCTTGTCCTCCTGCCTGTGCAACTTGTTTGAATTATGGAATGTGTCTAAATTGTTTAGATGAGCATGCCAAATTTTCAAACGGAAAATGCAAATGCAAAGATGGTTTTTTTTAAAATCCTGAAAATCTTAGTTAATGCTTACGTTGCAACAATATTTGTAAAACATGTTAAGGTAATGCTAATTTTTGTACTTCTTGTGATAATAGTGTTTCATGGCTTTGTCAATAAGAATGTAAGTGTTTGGATGGGTATTATTTAGATGCTTAAGAATAATAATGTAAGAAATGCCATTATACCTGTTTGTCTTGCAGCGGACCAAACATGAATAATTGCACTTCATGTGTGAGTAAGAGTCATTTAGATTTGAAAACTTATACTTGCGAATGTGATTAGTATTACTTTGCAGGAAAAGAACCTGGTAAATTCGAGTGCATTATTTGTGACTCTTAATGTAAAGCATGCGATGATTGGTAATAAGATAAATGTACTCAGTGTTTTGATAATGCTATTAAAATTAATAAAAATGGAGATTTTTTCTAATGTAAATGTGACTTAGGATTTTTCTTTGATGAGATGTAAAAACAATGCTTGAAATGTGATAAATAATGTAAAGAATGTACTGATAATGCACCCAATTCTTGTATTTTATGTATGGATGATAATGCATTTAGAACCAGTTAAGGAATCTGCGAATGCAATTTCGGATATTACTTTGATGGAAGCATTGGAACTAATGGAAAATGTGTAGAGTGTGATAAATCATGTGATGGGTGTGATGGACCTGGAGATGCCATGTGTAAATAATGTAAAGGAACACTTACTAAAAGCGCAAGTGGAAGATGTACATGCTAACTTGGTTAATTTTTAAGTTCCACAAATGATAATTAGTGTCTTTAATGTCACTCTACTTGTAGAACTTGCACTTCTTAACTTTAAAATCAATGTCTTTCGTGTTATGATGAATATGACTTCAAAGTAGGTGATATAATTACAATTATTAGTGAAGATAATATAACTATTAAGGGATAATGTAGCATTAAAAAAGGATATTACGAAGATCTTGATGATAAAAAAAAAGCTAAAAAATGTCATTAGAGTTGTTTTGATTGTAATGGATCTTCAGATGAAAATTGTACTGAATGTGATTCATATAAATAAGTTTTATAAAAAAGTTTGAATGGTTATAAATGTATGTGTAAAGATGGGTTCTATTAATTGTAATCGATTCCTCTTGTATGTGATGTTTGTCATGAAAGTTGTGCAACTTGCAGAGGTAGTTCTATTGATTAATGTATTAAATGCAAAAAAAATGCAGAAATTGTTAATTCATTATGTGTATGTAAATAAGGATATTTCGCAACTGATTTAGATCCTTTTAATTGTAATCCTTGTACAGATACTGAAAGCATATGTAAAGGCAGAGATTATGATTATATAGGATGTTCTTAAAATAAAGTTTTAGTTGATGCTGTAAAATAAGTAACTACTACAGTAAATGGTGAAACTAAAACTTAACAAATTAATTATAAGGATTGCGTATGTAAAAAAGGATATTCTCTTGATCCAATTACTTTAATCTGTATAAAATGTCATAAAAATTGTGCAAGCTGTGTTTATAATGATATAGCAAAATGCTTAAGTTGTGATAAAAATAATTTTCAAGTATTTTATATTGATAGAGTTAATAAAATATAGACTTGTAAATGTATAGATGGATATTTTGAATTAAATAATGATGGCTCATAATTATTATGTTAAAAATGCTATGGAGACTGTAAAACTTGCTCGAATTGTGACTGTGGTGAATGTACATCATGCGATTATTCAAGAGGTTTTGTAATAAATACTAATCGCTAATGTTCTTGTATGGATGGAAAATATTTTGATAATAGCCCTACTTTATAATCGGAATGTAGAAATTGTACTGGTGTTTGTATCAACTGTGATGCTAAATGTTTTGAGTGTGATAAAGTATATTAATCATTTGAAAGTATAAAAGACCCAACTTTAAGAAAAAAAGCAGAAACAGATGAAAGGGCAGCAAAACTTAAATGTATGGATGATCCCGTAGGAACAGATTATTTAACTTGTATATAAAAGTTTTATGATAAAGTAAGTTAAACAAACTATTATGAATTTTGTTTAGGTTGCCCTATTTATTGTTTAAACTGTAAGGTTACCATATATCCTAGATATCCTATTGCCTCACCATTTTAATGCCCTAGTTGTAAGGCTAAATGCTCAGATTGTAGTCCTAGATGTAAAACATGTAGTAGTTTAGATATTTGCACTTCTTGTAATAATAATTAAATTCTTACGCCTTATGGTTGTGAATGTCCTCCTTAAACTTACCTTGATTTATAAGGTTTTTGTTAGTCTTGTCATGAAACTTGCGCTTCATGTAGTGGACCTTCTGAGAATGAATGTACTAAATGTTTTTAAAATTTATTTATCCTTGATCCAGTGAAAAAAACATGTAAATGCAAACCTAATTTTTCCCTTGACTTTACTAATAAAAAGAAATGCTTAGCATGTAGTATTAATTGTGGAAATTGTTAAGATTGTAATTAAAATGCCTGTACTACTTGTACAGATAAACTTGCTGTTGTAAATCCTGTTACTCTTAGATGTGAGTGCCCTCCTGGCACTTTTTATAAAGTTGCTTGTGGATCAATTGCTTGTGGAGCTTGTCCTCCAAATTGTTTGGAGTGTGACGATCTATAAAAATGTATTAAATGCCGTGAAAATGCTGTAAGAAACAGTACTTTAGGTACATGTGTTTGTTAACCTGGTTTTTATAGTTTAGATTTTCCAATAACTACGTGCATTAGATGTCCTAATTATTGTACAAGTTGTTAGGTTATAAAAATTAAAAGATTAGATGAAAATGGCTAAGATTTTAAAGATGCCAATGATAATATTATTATGATACCTAAAGTATAATGTTTAAAATGTTCTTCTTCTAACTAATAAATCGAATAATTAATATCAAATTACAATTTTGACGAATGTCAATGTGCCTCTGGATACTCCCGTGATGCTAAAAATCCTTACCTTTGTGTGAAATGTCACTGTTCGTGCGTAACTTGTGATGGAATTGGTGAAGAAAACTGTCTAACATGTTCATTTGGACGTTAGTTCAATCCTTTAACTACTAAATGTGATCCCCTTCCAGGATTTTATTAAAAATCATCATCTGCTTGTGTTTTAAACAAATGTAATGATAATTGCAAGACTTGTAAAGATAGCGATAATGCATGTGATTCTTGTGGTAGATTTATGAAACTTACAAATTTAAAATAATGTGAGTGTATTGAAGGGTATTATTTCGATAAAATATTAAATAGATGTGTAGAATGTAATTAAACATGTAAAAGATGTAATGGACCATCTGCATATAATTGTTAAGATTGTTAAAGTGGTAATGCGTTTTTAAACGATAATAATTAATGTTAATGTAAAGAAAAATATTATTTACACCCATACAACTTCATTGATTGTTTACCCTGTTATGGAAATTGCTATTCTTGTCTAGGATCTGCTAATTATTGCACTGGATGTGTGGAGAATGCCAAAGTTTTTGCTTTAAATAATAAATGCTACTGTAATCCAGGCTTTTTTGAAAATGGAAGTGATAGAAATACATTAAAATGTATTGCATGTAGTAAAAACTGTAAAGAATGTGAAGGAAGTTAGAATAATTGTACTAAATGTGTTGATGATGCATTCCTTAATTAATAAAAATAATGTATCTGTAAACCTGGATTTTACTAAGAGACAGCTACCAGTATTGAAGTATCATAAAATATTATATGTATTTAATGTCATATTGATTGCTTTGAATGTTCTGGAGGTGAAAATAATAAATGTTTGTCCTGTAAGGATAATGCTTATTTGAATTCTAAGAAATAATGTGAATGTAATAATGGCTTTTTCTATAATTATGATACCAAATCCTGCCAAAAATGTGGAGCAAACTGCAAAACATGTAACGAAAATGGTTGTTTAACCTGCTATTAAAGTGCTTCTGTTGTAGATAATTAATGTGTATGTGATTCTAATCATTATTCAATCCTAAATACAGGTTGTAGTGCAAAAAATTGTGGGCAAAATGTTTGTGTATAGTGTGATTCTATATGTGGCGAATGTAGTTCTAAAGATATTTGCATAACCTGTGCTGATAAAAAAAATATGATATTATAAGCTGATGGAACTTGCATATGTAAAAACTTCTTTTATTTAGATAGCAAAAAACAATGTGTTAAATGTCATCCTTCATGTTTTTCTTGTACAGGACCTAATTCAAATGATTGTATTTCATGTAAACCTGAAAGTAATACTGAATTAGTTATTGATGGCTAAAACACTTACTGTAAATGTATATCTGGATACTATCATGATATTTAAAATATTGAGGAATACACATGTGTTAATTGTAGCTCTGATTGTAAAGAATGTAATGGAAATTCATCGAATTCTTGTACTTAATGCGGTGAAAACGCTACTTTGGTTTAAAAATAATGTATTTGTGATAATGGATATTATAAAGATTCTTCCTCATCTATATGCTTATAGTGCAGTAATAATTGTTTGACTTGTTCTAGTTTCGCAGTATGTACTTCTTGTGTTAATAATACATTACCTTTGGATGAAAGTAAAGTATGTAAATGTAAAGAAGGGTATTATTCTATTTCTGGGCAATGTTTAAAATGTGAGTTGCCTTGCAAAAATTGCGAATTAAATGCGAGACGATGCACTGAATGTTTTCAACCCGCAAATTTAGATTAAAAGTTGCACACATGTAAATGTCCTCCAGGAACTTATTAAGATTCCGGAGATTAGAGTATATGTAATACTTGTCATAAAAGTTGCGCTGATTGTGATGGAGAAAGTAATATTGAATGTAATAGATGTAAAAAAAATGCTGTAGAATATGAAGGTATCTGCTTCTGTAATGACGGATATTATGCAGATAGTAACGCAGATTGCTAACCTTGCCATCCTGAATGTGCTTCATGTTAAGGATATTTAGCCTCGTAATGTATTGAATGCAAACCTAACGCATAAAGAACTAATCTTGATACATATGTGTCTTCATGTTAATGTAAATAAAAATATTACTGGGATGTGTAAAAAGCTTAGTGTGAATAATGTCATGATACATGTAAAAATTGTAATAGTGATTCTAAAAATTAATGCAGTTAATGTATTTCTAAAGCTCAATTGATTCCTACAACTGATGGTAATTACAAATGTGAATGTGGATCTGATTAATACAGTTTATTCAACCCCTTCGATTGTATGGATTGTCACTAAACTTGCAAAGGATGCACTAAAGAACGTTATTTTGATTGTAAAGATTGTAGAATACACTCCAAGTTAGTTAATGGGGAGTGTATATGTGATGAAGGTTATTATAGAGATTCTTCTGATTTAATATATTGCAAATAATGTAGTGTTTCATGCAAAACATGCAAAGATTCAGCTGATAAATGCATTTTCTGTAAAAATGAATTTGCTATACTTACTCATAATAATGAATGCAAATGTATAGCTGGATATTACATGGATGAATTTGGCTATTGTATTAAATGTCATCCTTCATGCTAAGAATGTATTGGTGGTGAATACGATTAATGCACTTTGTGCCATCTTAATTAACTTCCTTCTACTTCTTTAGAACCTATGTTTAGCTGTAATTGTCCTTCTGGAACATATAGAGATGATTGCAATTTAAATAATCCAAATTGTAATTTATCTATATGCTTATCTTGTGATCCATCATGTTAAACTTGTATAAATGAAACTAATTAATGTAGTTCTTGTCCTCCAAATACTGATCATTAATTTTTCCAAAGATTTAAATAATGTGCTTGTGCGAAAAGCTTTTTTCCTAAAATTGTGTAAGGAAGGTTAGTATGCTTAAAATGCGATTATACTTGTAAAGAATGTTATGGTCCTTTACCTACTTAATGTTCAAATTGTGAGTAAAATGCATTTATGTATTTATTTAAAATAAGAGTAGAGAAAAATACTATAATAGAATAAACTGATAAACTTATTAGAATATAGATAAATGAAAATACAGTTAATGTGATTGAATATTCTTAAGAAACAGTTTTAGAATAGAATAATGAAATTATTTTTATTAAGTAAAATATTTGCTAATGTTAATTAGGATTTTATCTTAATGCATTAGATAAATCTAAATTAGATTGCTAACCTTGTAATATTCGATGTAAAGAATGTATTAATGAAACATCTGAAGGATGTACAGATTGTAATACAGGTGGTGTTTTGTCAAAAAATTAAACTGTTTCTTCTTGTGAAGCTGGTCAAAAAAATTATGAAGAACCCGATAATCCTGGAACATACGCTTAGTGCCATATTACATGTGAAAAATGCATAGGTTCTTCAGAAGAAACTCAATGTACTTTATGCAGAGATGATTCTTATTTAGTACCTAATAATGCTTCTGGTATAAATTTAGGAAAATGTGTTTGCATCGATGGTACTTATAGAAATACTTAAAATAATACTTCGACATGTGATCCTTGTAGTAGTTCATGTAAAACATGTAGCAGTGGATTAGAAAACTCATGTGTAACATGTAGAAATAATGCTACTTTAACTAATGGTTATTGTGTATGTAATCCTGCTTATTATATGGACACACATTTCTAATGCTCTTAATGTGATAAATTTTGCGCTTCTTGCAGTGAATCACCTGCTTGTATTACTTGTATTGATAATGCTGAAAAAGATTCTGAAAGTGGAACTTGCTCATGTAAAAAAGGATATTATTATAATAATTAATATAAATCTTGTTTACCTTGTAATCTTACTTGCGAGACATGCGAACAAAAAGCTGAATTTTGTACTGATTGTTATCCTGATTCAAATTTTACTTCAAATAAATGCGAATGTAAAGTAGGTACTTATAGAGATTTTTCTTATCCTAGAATTTGTCAAATATGTTAACCTTAATGCAAAACTTGTTCTGACGGAGATTCTTGTGATTTATGTTTTAATAATGCTTCCATAGATAAAGAAACTAAATTGTGTATATGCGATTAAGGTTATTATTGGAACTAAACTGAACTTAAATGTTCTCCTTGCTATGTTAATTGTAAAACATGCTCTGGTCCAGATTATGATGATTGCGATTCTTGTTTTACTAACAGTGCCGTAAAAAGTGGTTAGTGTGTTTGCCTAACACGATTTTATCAATCTTCTGATCCTAAAATATGTTTAAATTGCGATAATTCCTGTGAAAGTTGTGTCGGATCTAAACCTGAAGAATGTACTTAGTGCAAAACAATATATTTCACTTTCATTCCTAATTAAAATTAAACTCCAGCTACAGATGTAAAAAATAATCAAGTTTAAACTATTCTTGGTACATGTGAATGTAAACCCAAATTTTTCTATGATTCAAATTATAATTGTTCTTCATGTGATTCTACATGTGCTTCTTGTAATGGTGGTTAACCTAATAATTGTACTTCATGTATTGTGAATGCTACATTGACCAAATATAATACTTGTGATTGTAATTTAGGCTATTTCTTTAATATTGATAAAGAATAATGTGAAAAATGTCATGAAAAATGCAAAAACTGTATTGGATATTCAGATTCTTAATGTTTAGATTGCAAGGCAAATGCCTAGAACAAACTCGGAAAATGCGAATGCGTAGACGGATACTATTATGACGAAAGTTTAAAAGGATGTACACTTTGTGACCTTAATTGTGGCAAATGTAATTCTAAAGATACATGCAATATATGCAAGGATAATGCTGAAAAGCCTCCTGCACTCAACAAATGTTTATGTAAAAAAGGATTTTTCTAAGATGGAAGAGCATGTAGACCTTGTAGTCCAAGTTGTTTCTCTTGTAATGCAGCAACACCAAATAGTTGCCTTGAATGTCATCCAAATGCCGAACTTGTAAGCAATTAAACGTCTTAATAAGAATGCTAATGTAAATCTGGATTCTTCTAAAACTCAAATAACCTTTAAGAATGCCTACCTTGTTAATAGCCTTGTCTATAATGTAAAGATTCAGCTACTAATTGTATAGGAACATGTGGGCTAAATGCTTAATTAATAAATAACTAATGTTAATGTATATCTGGGTACTATATGAGCAATTAATTTATTTGTGTACCTTGTGATTAGTCCTGCAGATAATGTCTAGGCCCTAATGCTAATTAATGTGTTGCATGTTATTCGGATTTTGTAATATCAAATACTAATACATGTGTATGTAGAGATGGTTTCTACTTACCCCTTGATAAAGTTAAATGTTAACAATGTCATAGTGATTGTGATACATGTGTAAATTAATCAAACAACTGTTTAATATGCTCTGATTAAAACAAGACAGTAAGTATCAACTCCAATAATATTTCTAATTGTGTATGTAAGACAGGATTTTATTAGTAAGGTAGTAATTGCAAACCATGCACTGTTCCATATTGTGATTCATGTACCAGTACTAAATGCTTATAATGTGCTCCAGGAGCTACTCTTAGCTCAATTACAGGTTTTTGCTCATGTCCAGATAATGTGGTATATTCAGCTAAACTTACTCTAAAAGCTAATCGTTTTGGGAACACAGCAACTAAATAATGCCAATAATGTGATCCTAAATGTTATTTATGTTTCCCTGGTTAGCCTTCCAATTGTCTCACTTGTCTTTTTGATAATATAGGCGATGGTACAATTTAAACTCCTGCTCCTAGTGCAACATTCCCACCAGGAAAAAATTCCGGTCCTAGGGAATGTCTATGTCCAAGTACACATAAATGGAATATACTCTATCCTTTAAATAAAGATGATTCCAAGTATGCCGAACAATGGTTCTGTTAGAAAATAAATATTTGTCATTCTTCATGTATTTCTTGTAATGCTTAAAAAGTTTGTACTAAATGTCATTATTTAGCTTTTGTTGATACTAATAATAATACACAGTGTATTTGTTAACCAGGCTCATATAGAGATCCTAGTAATCCTTTCAGATGTTTGAAATGTGATGAATCATGTTAAGAATGTACTGGTCCTAATCCTAATTAATGTACTAACTGCCCTATTGGAGCTTTAATTACCCTCAATAGTTAAACATCTACAGAAGGTACTTGTTAATGCAAAGATGGTTGGGAAGCTCATAATTGTCTTTAAGGATATTGTAGAAAATGTCATATTAGTTGCAAAAAATGCAATGGTTAATCACAAAATAATTGCAAATAATGCTATCCAAATGCTAGTTTGTCATACGACCCATTAGATAAAACTAGCGCTTATTGTGTTTGTAATTAAGGTTTTTATCCTTCTATAGATTTTTAAGATTTAAATCAAATTTGTCTCCCTTGCCATAATTTAGGATAAACATGTAGTGGTCCTCTAGAATCTGACATATTAAAATGCAAAGACCCAAACGCATCTGTTGTTAGTGGTAAAGTAAAATGCAATTAAAGATATTACATGGAAGGAGAAGTGTGCCTTAAATGCTATAGTAATTGTTTGAGATGTACAGGTCCTAGCAATATTCAATGTATTGAATGTCCATAGAACTTTATTCTTAATATTAATTATTGTGAACCCGCTCCTGGTTATTATGCTATTACTGAAGGCTCTATTATAGTTGGTTAATGTCATAGTACATGTTATTCTTGTAGAGGTCCTTAGATTAATTAATGTACAATCTGTTATCCTAATGCTAAACTAAATCCAGAAACTAAATAATGTCTTTGTGTATCTGGATATTATTAAAGATTCTCTAAATGCTATCCATGCCATCCTTCATGTAAAACTTGCATTAATGACTATTATAACGGCTGTAGTTCATGTTAGGAAAATAGCAGTTTCAACTCTAATGAAAGAACATGTAGTTGTACAAACGGTTTCGAATTATAATCGTTTGAACCATACATATGCAGGCCTTAACTTTCTTTCAACATTGCTGAATGTAAACTTACATTGGAAAGTTATGTAGAAAACACTCTAATGAAAGTAAAAGTAGTAGATAGTTTAGTTGAATAAACTTCTTCTCGTATATCTATGTATGTTTCTTTTGATTTACTTAATAGAGGCTAAATCTCCTCTTAATGTGCTTAACTTTTAGATGTGTCTTTCTATTATATAAATTAATCAGAATAAATAGCTTTTCTGGATTAATAATATATTATGAATACCCCAAGTGTTTTCTAAAAATTGATTGTCATTCCAGAAGATTCATATTAAAATATAATGTATAGATATTAAATTCCCTACACAGAACTATAATTAGTTGCTAAAATAAATGTTGATAATAGTCTTTAGATATAGTTGAAAGAATAGTTATTAACATTTAAAGTACATATTAAAAATGATTTGTCATCCATTTTTGTTACTTAATAAGATCATACAATATTACAAAATGAAAATTGTTAACCTTCGTAACTTAATAAAAATAGATGTTATGTGGTGGCTGAATCAGATATTGACTCTTACATTTGTTTAGATTAAAATTGTCTTAATTAAATATAAAAACTCAATTTCTAAGCTGGTGAATACCTTTATTTTAAAGTATCGATTATTATGAACAATAACTGTAGTAATTTCGTCAAAATGTAAAAAGCTTATCTAATTGCTAATGGAATTACTTGGGATTATACTGAAGCTACAGAAACTAGAGTTGAAGATTGCTAAGAATCTATTTTCAGGATGTAAATTCTGGAAAATATTTAAAATGTTTAAGTTTAAATTTAAGCTATAATTGAACCTGTTCATACTGAGACTACAAGAAATCTTGAATAAAAATCATAAACTATAATATTAGGACATTAAGAGTAAATAAAATAAAAGGAAATAAATGAATTTAAAATAGATTAATAATAAGAAACTTATTCTAGAATTTTAATCATTTAAATTATGACAATACTGTCATTATACAGTTTAATTATTTGAGAAGAAAAAATAAAATTAAATATATATATATAAATATTTTTTTAAACATTTTAATATATGTTTTTTTAATGTTTTCAAAATTTCAATTTTTTTAATTATTAATTATTAATATTTTTATATTTATCTTTTTAATATATTATGTATATTTTAAATTTTAACATAATTAAATTATATATACAAAATGAAAGCTAAATATAAATAAAGCTTTATTAAAAATAATTAAAATTGATTTTTTTTATAAGTTAAATAGTTATAAATTTATAAAGTATAGTATATAATTATATTTTATAGTTCGAAATTATAAATCCTTTATAACAAAAAATAAAATAATTATATTAATTTTATAAAAGTTTATTATTAACATTTATTTTATATTTACTTTTAAAAATCTGAGAAAAATTACTTTTTAATATTTTCTATAAATAATTTTTTCTAATTATTAATACAATTTATTACACTAATTTTTATAAAATTGAAATAAAAATTTTAAATATAAATTATAATATTTAAATTAAGTATATAAATTAGTTATATAATATATAAATTACTTTTTCTATAAAATTTAATTAATGTTTAATATATTTAAATAATTAAAAAATAATAAAAGTTAATATTTAATAAAATATAATTATCAAATATTAGTAAAAATATGTGAAAGCCTAAAATAAAAAATAAAGTTATATAAATATTATTATTATTCTTTTAAAAGAATATATTAATTAAAATATAAAATTATATTAAAATAAGAATATTATTTAAATAAATTACATAATAATATTGTATTAATTTTATTTAATAAAAAATACTTAAATATATATTGTTATTAAAAATATTATTATTATTATTATTATTATTATATTATTATTATTAATAATATTTTTATTATAAAAATTATTATTAAATTAATTTTTTATTAAATAATATATTTATATATTTTAATTTTTTATATAAATAAAATTATTATTATTACATTTTAATTAATAATATTTTTATAAACATTGAAATTTTATATTTATTTAAATTTATATATATATATATATTATTATATATTTCATAATTTAATATACAATTTTTTAATTTTCAATATTTTTTATATTTTTTGTATTAACTTTATTTAGATTATATTTAATAATTTTTTAATAATAATAAAATCTAAAAATAATTTTTAAAATGTTAATTATCAGAACTGTTAATCATTAAGTTTAAAAATTAAATGAAATAAGAAAAATTCCTTAAAAGCTTATATAATGTAATATATATATATATATATATTTATTATTCTAATTTATGAATATATTCATTTATTATTTTTTAAAATTTAGCTGAAAATGAAAAATTATTGAGTGTTGGAGTATAATAAAGAAATAATGTTATGCCTAAATCATTTGATGATAACAGCAGAATTGGATTTTCATAACGTATAATTTTATATGCTCCAATTGATTTTTTATTTTTACTGTAATTATTTTCAAAACTCAATCATTTTTCAATTAGTTTTTAAAATAATTACAGGAAAAATAAAACATACAACTTTAAAAAATAAATATTAAAAACAACATAATAATATAAAATTTTATATAAGATCCCGCATTAGATTCAAGCTGCTAATATAATGAAAATCATACATTAGTAAGAAATGATATATTAGGTAGAACAGCAAGAATATATGTCCACGATATTAATCATATGCATGATAGTAATAAAATATATTTTTTTATTAAAAAAATAAATTAAATAATATTTTATAAATAATTTTATTTCTAAAAATTAAATATAGCCCCTGAATTGTCTGAAGGATATTAATGGTGTATGTAATTTTAAAGACAAGCTTAATATAAAACCCCGAATATGGGATGGGTTCACAACGGAGATACTTTTTCTAAAAGAAATAATTACTTTAGAACTCTGGAAGATGCTATTCAATATTGCAAATAAATGGGTATAAAAGATAATTTTATTTATATATAAATAGAATTAATAATCTTAATTTTAATTTTTTTAAAGGTTATGGATATGAAGTTGATTACCCTAAATTTAGATATCATTCAAAAAAAAGTATTATAAATATGTGTACTTTTTAAAGAATTGTAATTAATTTAATTTAAATAGGTTATGCTGATAATATGAAATGGCCTGGACATGATGCTGAAGACCCAGACTAATGAATGAATTTGAATAATATATATATTAATATTAATTTTATTGATAAAATAAAAATATTAATTATATATTACATAAAAGTTTTAATATAAAAAAAATAATATAGAATGAAATTAAAAAATAAATAAATAATAATATTATCAAATAAATTATTTACTTCTTTTACTAAATTTAATATAAGATAATAAAAATCTTTAATAAATATAATATTATATATATATAATAATAAATTCAGCATATCCTTTCATCTTCCACTCCCCTATAATTATGTAAAGTCATAAATCTACAAATAGTCAAAGTTCCACTAATCAACATTACATAAGGAGCCGGTACTTCATAAATAGCGAGTAAAACAAGTGTAATAAAAACGAGTAAAGATGTTGTTATAAAATCTCCTTATCCAATATGAATCCATATTTAAATAGCAGTCGCAATAACAAATCCAACCGAAACACATTCTGCTCCCTTTAAAATACTTTGAACTTATGGATCTTTTCTATATTATCCCCAAATAGGCAAAAATCCTTAGATAAATAAAAATGTAGGCAAAAATGTAAAAGTAAAGGCAAAAATAGAACCAATAAACCCATATTCTAAAGTTCCAATATAATTTGCTATACTACTTACAGCAGGACCTGGAATCGCAGACGCAACCGAAAATCCATTATAAAATTGGGTTTAATTAATATTTTGGTTTGTAAATTAAATATCCAATAGTGAAATTCCTACATATCCTCCTCCAAAATATACAGAGCCAATATAAAAGAAATCAAAAATAAATTTTATAAACTCTGAATTAAACATAATCTAAATTAAAATCAAGCCTATTAAAATAAATACATATAATTATAACCCTTTATTTAAAAAGCCATTGTTTTAAAAGCGTTTATCTTCTGTAGAAGATATAACTGATTCATATGTGACTAAACTAGGCCTTGTGACAGAGTCAGAAAAAAATACATATCCTAAAAAACCTCCTAAAATTAGAATTATAACCATATAAAGAGGTTTTTAGTATTAAAAATATAGAATAATACTCATAAGTATAAAAAAGTAACATTTTTTATCAAAATTATGATATTATAAATACATTACGGAATTTTGCATTACTATTGCTACTGAACAACATGCAAATCCCTTAAATATTAGACTTATTTCGCAAGCAACTTAATAATTGTTTTCTTTTGTTGGATTTATGTAATTATTTAAATATCCCATAATTGTCATTAGAAAAGCACTTGGAAGTAAAAAAAATATACCTCCTAATAAACCTCCATAAACATTATTTGTTACTAATGATCCTATTAAATATTATTTTAAATTAAAATATTATTGCTTTGTTAAAAAAAACTTATACCAATAGTAATTATTATTTAAGAAACAGTTATTCCTGGTATAACAGAACATACTGCAACTAATTCTTAATAAATTTCTTAATCTACCCATTTAAGCTCATTAACAAACAATTCTTATATTACTGATGCTTAAACCATAGGACCTCCACTATTAAAAATCGTAACTTTGAATATGTATTTCATTAATTAAAGCAAAGTGATATTATTAATGTTAACCAATTTATTATTTTCAGAATTAAATATGCTTATATTGCTTTATTTATCAATTAGTTTATTTTAATTTGTTTATTCTGGATCGGAATTTAATTATTTTTATTCTTACATTTATATTTTTTTAAAAAAATTAATAAATAAAAAGTAAAGAAAATTAAATTAAATTAATAATTTTTTTTATTTAATATTTTTAAAATAAAAATAAATATATTACTTCACAAAATTTATAAAATAAAATAATTTTTAGTTAATTTATATATTAATTATATAAGATAATTAAATATATATATTTTTTTAAATTAAAAAAAAAATTAATATATTTTTCAAAAAATAAAATAATAATAATAATAATTGTAATATTTTTATATATATATTTTTTTTTAGCATTATAATTATTTATTTTTTAATATATCTTTTTAGTATAAATTTAAAATTAAATAAATATATTTTTATTAAAAATAATCTTTTATTTTAAATAAACATTATATAATTACTTTTATTGTCAAAAACATATATATTTTTTAATGTTCACAGATAAGTATTATAAAGATATTTGTTTTATTGTTGGAATTCCTTTATTAATGAAATTTTCTATTAGTTTTTTGAAAAACCATTTATTTTAGAATGAAAATACAATCTTAAAATCTACATATGCATGTATCGAACTCGGAGGTTCATCGATTAAATTAGGAGTAGGATTAAAAGAATATTGTAAAAACACTAAAAAATAGTCTTGTAGATTAATAGCAGGAAAAAATATATAAATAAATACTGAAACTCCTGAATAAAATTTATAACAAATTGAAGATTTTTTTATGAATGAAAAAATAGATTACATAGGAATCGCAAGTTTTGGACCTATATGCTTAGATTAAAGTTCTGATTAATACGGATATATAACAACAACTCCTAAAATAGCCTGGTAAAATTTTCCTATATTATAAAGAGTGAGCGAAGTGATAAGATACAATTCTAAAAATTCTATAGGATTTGATACAGATGTCAATTCAGCTGCTATTGCTGAATTTCATTTCGGTTTAAATTAATTTTAAAAAATATAAAACTATAAAAAAAAAAAATAGGAGGACATGATACTAAAAAATCATTAGCTTATATTACTATAGGAACTGGAGTTGGTGTAGGTCTAATCATTGATGGATAATGTGTACACGGTTTAACACATCCTGAAGGCGGTCATATTTTGGTAAAATTAAAAGAAGGTGATGAATACTAAGGGTATTGCAAAAAACATTAAACATGCGTTGAAGGAATGGTTTCCAACTTTGCTTTAGCATAAAGACTTAATATTTAAGAAAATTAATTAAAAAATGTTGATCATAAGCATGAAGTATGGGATTATACAGCTTATTATATAGCTCAATTATGTTTAAATTTAACTTTAATTTGCTCACCTGAAGTTATTGTGTTAGGAGGTGGAATTATGCATAAATAAGGTTTATTAGATAAAGTTCATAATTAATTCATTTAAATTTTAGCCTGTTATATTTAAAATGAAAAACTTAATAACAGTAATATTTTTTTTTTTAACTTTTTTTTAAATTAAAATAGATATTCACAAATATATTGTAAGACCCTTTTTCGAAAATTCAGGATTGATTGGAACGATGGTTATTTGATAATTATAGATATGTTAAATATTTATAAAAATTATTTTAAGCTAATATGGTAAAAATAATTATTATAAAATTTATTATAATAATAAAAATCTATTTTTAATAATATTATTTATATATTTAATAATTAAAACAAATAATATTTTAAATTTAATATATTTTTATTAAAAAAATGTTTCAATTCTTAATAAATACTCTTATATAATTAAAATATTTTAAAATTATTAACATATATGAATATATATTGTATATTTTAATTATCGATAACCTTAATTTCCTTTTTCTTATGTATTTATTACATGTATATTTTGACTAAAATATGGTTAAGTTTAAAATTTTAATAATAGTAAATTACGCAATTATAGCATTATTAACACATAAAATAAATAGTTAAAAATGATATTTAGTCTTTAAAAAATTGAATTATTAATTTTTGGGAAATTTCCTTATATACAGTGTTTGAAAAGCTATAAATGGCTTTTTTAGTAGGTCATTGTCTAAATTATACAAGGAAAAAAATACTTTTTGAGTCTTTATATTTACTGAATGGGGATTAAGAGTATTGAATATATAATTTAATTTTTATTGAGGATATTATAAGCATTAATTATAAAGGTGATTGTTTAGAAATTAATAAACTGTGTTGTTTTTTTGTTCAAATTTTTTTCGTTTTGAAAATATGAAGATTTTTATAGGTTAGTTATAAAAATATATTTGTATGTATAAACGATTTCTTAATTAATATGATAAATTGATAATTTATAATAATTTTAAATTTCTAATTAATTTTATTATTTTTTATTCAAAATATAATATAATTAAACAACAAATAATCTTTAATTATATATTAAATATATATTTAGATATTTCATCAAAATAAAATTAACTTGTTTCTTATTTCTTTATTATTCTTTAATTATTATGATTTTTGGTATTAATTATTTATAAATATAATCCATATTTATTTATTTTTTAATTTAAATTTAATTAATATGGGAAAAAAATATTTTAAATCAATAGATAAAAATATAAAATAGGAAATTAAATTAAAAAAATATTAAATTTAAAAATAATAATTTAAAATTTAGTTTAATTCTTAGAATAAAAATTAAATTAATGATAATTAATAATATATATATAAATAAATATTTGCTAAATAATTTATTATTATAGTATATATAAAGCATACTATAATAATAATTTTATATATTATATATATTTTTATAATATATTATTTTTTTATCTTTTCATAATATAAAATCATCTAGTGACTCCTTGCTTTAATTTAAAAAGGATTCAAATATGTCGCTTTTTGTAATTTCTTCGATGACTGCAATTGAGTTCAATAAAATTTCAAGTTCTCTCTTCATTTGTTTAATATTACTCTCCTTTAAATTTGATAGCAACTTTTAAGATGGAAATTTAGGTAATCTAATATTTTTAAACAAATTCTATATAGTAATATATAATTAATATATTTAAGAAAAAATGATTTCGAAAATCCAGCTTTATTTTCTTTAAAAAGCCTTAACTTTAAATAAAACTAATTTTTAATTAGGATTACCATCTTCAAAAAGTTCATTTTCTTGAATTATTTCAAAGCTTAAGAATTTAAAGGAAACATATTTATTTTAAATTTTTTATCCCAATTTAAATCTCTCTAATTTATTTAATTTTTTGACAATTTAGCTTTGAGATTTTTTTATTTATAAGATTTTTTTATCTAAAAAAGATTTTATTGATAAGCTTTCGCCTTTTTTATTTGATGAAATATTCCCTTCATCAGAAGTAGAATAATATGATATGGAATTATCAAAGTTATTCATTAAAAGAAATTCATCTTTACTAGAAGAAGGAGACTTAAATATTTTAGAATCCATTGTGAAATTTAGTATTTTGGTATTTTTTGTTAGATTTTAATGAAAAAAAGCTTATTCAGTTTGCCTTATCTTTTTTAAAATGCCTTAATTATTTTATTTTATAGATATATATTATATTATTAATATTGATTAATATTTAAATATTAATGTATTTATTTTTTATATATATCACTCTCGCGAAATTTGTCGGAAATTTATAATATATATAAATAATATATTTCTTCTAATTTCTAGAATGAATAAAAATATATTAATAGTTATATATTTATTAAAAATATAAGTTTTTTTAAGAATAAAAATTTTTAATCTTTGAATATTTTATATAAATAAATTACATATTTTATTATTTATCATTTTAAAATAAAATTATAATTATTAATAACATTTTTTTAAATAATAATCATTAGATTTTTTAAATTAGATTGTTTTTTTTTTGGAATTACATTTAAAATAAATAATTAAAAAACATTGTATTTTACAGACTAAATTATTGCTTTTAAATATTTAAATTTAAAATAATTTTTTCAAATAAATTAAAATAAATAATAATATATAGTTTAGAAGAAATTTCTATTCTTCTTTTTATTATTTTTAAATTAAAATTAATAAAAATTTTCATAAAAATTAAATTAATTTATTTTGGATGTTTTTCCTAATATTATATATTATTATTTTAAAATTTATATAAATTTTAGGAACAAATAATTAGTATGATTTTATATATAATTTTTTATAATTTTAAAAAGCTAAATTTAAAATTTTATAATGTTAATTTGTTTTTTTTATTTTACAATTTAAATTTATAAAATAAAAAAATACCGTAAAAAATAAGTTGAAATTTTACTTAAAATAAAAATTTATAAATTTTACAAAACTAAAATTTCTATTTATTTTTTTGCTTGTTTTTAAATATAGATTAAAAATCTTCTATTTTCCCTTTCTTTCTCAAATAGATGGATAAGAAGCACTATTACAAATGGCACAAGTATTTCCATCAGCCAAATATATATAACCATTTTCTCCCCAAAAAGTTCCCCAAGAATTTTTAATTTTCCAAGCATCAACTTTATCTTTTTGCACAAAACCAACCAACAAAACACCGTGGTCTAATTAATTTCCACATTCTTTCAAAACACCTTTACTGTAAAATTACCATTATTCAGCATCTACAGCAATCGAAACAGGTTATTTAGTTAAAGCAGTTTTAAGTTCATTACAGTTTCCTTAAGGAACATCAATGTATTTAGAAATTTTCACTTTTGAAAATTTAGATGTATCTTAGCAAATTCCATCAATAGCAGTGTATGGATAGTCTTTATTTGATGATAATCCTTTCTCAATAATGTATTAGAAACCGTAGTCCATTAAACCCCCATTACATCCTTCATTTCCGTAGGATTAAGAACAATCAATGAGTTCCTATTCGGATAAATTAATAGTTTAATCAGCTTTTTCAGCTAAAATAAGAGCAGATTCTACAGAACCAGTAGTAGAAAAAGCCCAACAAGAGCCACATTAACCTTAGTCTTTAAGTGCTGATACTTTGTTTTCAGATTACCAATCGAAATATGTGTTATTTGAGGGGGTGTGAATAGTTACTGGAGATACTTGTTTTATTTTTAAGTTCAAATATATTTATTTAAATTCTTCAGTAGTCAAATCCATAAATTAAGTAACTTCTTTGGTTGAGTCTCCTTTAATTCTTTATAAGTTTTCGGCAAATACTTAGATTCTGTACACCTCGAAATCAGTATCGGAATATTTTTTATTATATTTTTGTTTAAAATGAGTCCATTTGTTCATTAAATCGACATCAATTTCATGTGTAGGAGCTTTATGGTGAGAAAAAAAAAAAATGAAGTTGCAAAGAAAGCAACTCCTGATAATAAAAATAATAATGTTTTCTTCATAGTTTTATAATTTTTATAAATATTATTAATTAATAATTTATTTCTAAAAACATTATATTATTTTAAAAACAAAATAAATTCTTTTATTAATATTTTATAATATATTTTGTTCACTTTTAATTTATTTTTTTATATTTTGATGTAATTTAATAATATTTAATATGTATTTATTTTATAAATATAATGATATTAATTTTATTTTTATATATAATATAAGTCATTTGTAAAAAAAAAATATATTTAAATATATATATATTTTTTAATATTTATTATGATTATAATATAAATAAATTAATTCAAAAATTTATTAATTAAACAATAAAAATATATATAATAATTATATTATTTATTTTTATTAAGTAAATTGTTGATATATATATATATTTTAAATGTAAATTGTTTTAAATAAAATTAAGAAATTCATATTATTTTTATTTATTAATAAATATTAAAAATAAATATATTATATTTTTATAACTAAGTATTAAATAAAATTAAAAAACACAATTTTTTTTATATATTTTTTAAGAATATACAAATAATAAAATGAATAGAATATAAAAACAGATTTAATTTGAATTAATAAAAAATTATACATATAAAATACTAAAAAATAAAACAAACAATTTTAAAAAATCAAAAAATAATTTAAAATATAATCTTGTGAATTGAAATAATATAGTTAAATTATAGAATCATTATCAGATTATGATGAAAGAAAAGCTTAATATTAAACAATAAAAAAATTAGAAAATACTTTTTATAAAGTTAAAAAATAAAATTAAATAAAACGCTCTTTAACAAAAGATTTCCATAAAATCAATAAGAATTAATTAAAAAAAATAGCCTAGATAATATATATTAATAAAAAATCTAAAAAAATAATATATAAAATACATAAATATAAAAGATATAAAATAACTTTAAATCATCTGAAAATTTAGAATAATATAATAATTATGAAACAAAAATCAAATAAATAAAAAAAATTAAACATTAAGTATAACAATTTATTAAAAAATTAAATTAATAATAAAAAATTTTAATAAAAAAAAAAGACTTATTTTCAAAATTATGGATATATTATAAGAATTAAATGATTTTACCAATAAGAATAATATTATTTTATAAATAAATAAAAATGTATATTTAAAAAAAAAAATATATATAATAGTATATAGATATAAATATATATATATATATATATTATTTATATTTTTATTTTTATTTATTATTATTTATTATTTAATATATTATTTATCAAATATAATATTCATTTTTTAGATAGATTAAATTTATCTTTTGAAAAAAAAATTATAAAAATTTTTAATATATGAATCTACAATGCTGATTAGGGGAACTTTTTTTGAAATACAATAATAACTTGATTAATTTTAAGCAATAGTAAATATATTTATATTATAATTTTGAAATATAAAATATTTTAGATAACTTCAAAACTTAATAAAAATTAAATAAAAGTTTAAGATTTAAATTCTCCTTTACCTGAATAGATTATTTTTAATGAACCAATTACTCCTATTTTTACTTTATAATAACTTAATAGTACCTATTCGCCATAAAAATTATATAATTAAAATTCATTGGTGACCTTAACAAAAAGTTAAGTAGTCTAAAACAATTTATAATCTTTAAATACTAAAAAATAAAGTTTTATTTAAACAAAATCTAATTAGATAAGTATGCAATTATTTTGTATAATATAAAAAATAAAATTAAATTTGTCTATTTTAAGAATTATTTGTAATGAAGAAAAAGTTAAAAACATATTTTTAAGTCAAAATAAGTCATAATAATATGATATTTTTAATCCTTTTAATATATGTAAATAATAATCACAAAATGGTGAATAAGGATAAGACTAATATTTTTAATCATTATATTCTTCTTTTGAAGGTGATAAACCTATAAATAGTTAGTTATCTTATAATTTTTATTTAGAAGATTCTATTTTAAACAGTTAATAAATATGTACTGATAATATAAATTATATACCTATAAATAGAATATTAGACAAATATAATGAAAAATTTAAGAAAGTTCAACAAAAAGATTATTTATAATTTTTAGAAGTATTAAGTAATTTTATTTTTTAAAATTAATAATAAGTAAACTTATTTATATAAAATTTATTTTAGAAAATTATGAATAATGCATTCAAGAAGAAAAATCAATAAGAATTTAAAGTGTATTATATTTCAAAAAATAATTATTGATTGAAAGCAACAAATAATTGTAGAAAGAAAGAGAATTCATTTATAAATAATATTTAAATTGGATAAACATGAAATATTTAATTTAATCTAAAAAAGAATAAACACTTAAAAATAAAAATGAATTAGTAAATAATATTCTTTAAAGGAAAACAATTTGTAGAATTTGCGAAAAAGATATTACTTTATTTAAATTAAAAAAGCATTCTCTTATTTGTAAAGAAATTTATGATCTTAACACTTTTTTGAAAGTTTAATATATATAAATGAATCAAAGCATTTTTTATTTTTAATAATAAAACAGAGAATTCTAAGTTTAATAGGCTATATTGTTAAAATAAATAGAAAAAATAGAAAAAAATCAATAATATTAAGCTAAACTGGATGATAAAGCAAATTAATAAAATTAATTTAGACGAAATTCAAACTATATATAATTAACCCATATGCTAAAAAGTAAAAAGCAAAATTAACTCAGAAATAAAAAGAACAATTTAAATATGTAAAAAAGTTAATTAATTATAGAAACATAATATAAAAATTCAGATGATGACTCAAAAGAAATCAAAAGCAAATCAATCTAAAAAGAAACCAAACAATAATCATTAATAATTATAAAAGAAAATAATAGTGAATTAACCACTCCTGAATGCTGTTAAAAAACAATGAATTATTTAATACCTAATACAGATAAAATATAATAAAATCATAAATAAAAATCTTCTATAAATGAATAAAATTAAAAGAATTTATAAGTTACTAAAACTGAATTAGTTAATTGTACTCATAGCCATAATAATCCATAAGTAAGTAAAAATAACTTTTATAAAAGCCCTAAAAATTAATAAATAATGTAATAAATATTGACTAGGAATGCTTCAATCGAAATAGTTCAAACAAATCCAATAAATTAAAATTCTAATAATTAATAAGTTTCCTCAAATTCATTTTGCAAATTAATTTAACAAAATGATTTTATTGCAAATCCTGAGAATATTTAACAATAAATCATTTTTTCCCCTAATATTTAATAATTTAATTTAATAGGAAATGGCTTTTAAAATAATACTAACATAGAATAAAATAATCAAAAAAAGCAACGTTAGTAAAAATCAAATGTTAATTTTCTTAATTCATAAAGAAATGTTTCTTTTTCAGAATATAACGATTAAGTAGGAGAAATAACAACTTATGAAAATAGTAAAAAATGTAATATTTAATCATTTAAGTAGAATATTTTATAGCCAACAATAAATGATGGAAGGAGAAATAGTTTACCAGCAAATTTTCAAATAGGAATTATTTCAAATAATTAATTAAGTTTAAATATTGCTTAACTGTCAAATAATTTTGAAATTAAAATTAAATAACATTAAAAAAATTTATTATAAAAGAAAATTAGAATTATTAACCTTATTTAAGGATTAGAAAAAGCTTTTCTTACAAATAATTAAAATAAATTAACATAAAATAGTAAAATATATTATTCAGATAATTTATTTTAAATTTAAAAATAAGAAAAAGCGTAACTACTAAAGGAAAATGTGTAAAGAATAAATGTACTTTTAAAATAAATTTCTTAAAACTAATTTAAAACAAAAGTATAAGATATTTTAGAATAATTTAATGTAATATATATATATAAATATATATAATATATATATATATATATATATATATATATATATATATATATATATATATTTATATATTTATCTATTTTAAAATTTTTAAGAAAAGATAAGAAATTATTTAAGAAACTGAAAAATTAGAAAAGTAATTACAAAATACATTGAATATAAAATTAAATTTACAAAGTTAAGAAAGCGATAATTCTTCAAATACAAATTCTCCTTTAATAAGTGAAGGTTCTTAAAGAAAATTGTGCAAAAGTAACACATTAATAATAAATAATAAGCCTAAAGTCCTGTCAAAATATAGTAAATTTAGAGAAGACTTAAATTCGAGTTCGAGTTTAAATAGTCTAATAACATCAGAAAAATCGGAAAACAATAGCAACGTGAACGTAGAAATTTAAAAAAATAAATAAAGTGTAAGTAGATTTAAAAGAAACTCCTGTATGGAAGAGAAAAATTTTTATTTTGATAAAATGCTTAATAAGCAAATAGAATTAGAGGAAAATTTTTAAATAGATTCATCTGATCACAAATAAAAAAATACTGATTATTATTCTGATGGAGAACTTAAAAATATTTATTAATTAAATAATTAACACTTAAATAATTAAGAAGAGTATTTTTTTTAAAAAAAATATATTTATTTTCATTTTTTTTCTAAGAATTGGTAAAATTAACATATAAGATTTTGATTTTCTAAAATTGGTAAGTAAAGGAGCTTTTGGACGTGTTTGGATTGTCAAAAAGAAAAATACGGAAGACATATATGCAATGAAAATAATAAACTTTGCAGAAAAAATGAATAAAAATCACCTTAATTCTTTAAAAAAGAAAATGATATACTTTCTAAAGTATAGGGTGATTATGTTGTAAAGGCTGTATATTCTTTCACTTATGAGTCTTATATTTGTTTTGTTATGGAATATATGATTGGCGGAGATCTAGGTTCTATTATTTAGAGTTATGGCGTATTATAAGAATATGTAGCTAGATTTTATATATGTGAAATTATATAAGCAGTTTAAAGCTTGCATTAAATAGGTAACGTAAATTTTAATATAATTATTTATTTTTTGCTTTTTAAATAAAAAAAGGAATTATACATAGAGATTTAAAACCGGATAATTTATTATTAGATTCTTAAGGACATTTAAAATTGACTGATTTTGGTCTTTCTGATATGGGTTTATAGAGAAGAAATAAATATGAGATAAAACAATAAAGAAGAGATGATTTAAAAATGCTTAATTTTTCTAAAGAAAAAAATAAAGAAGAATAATTTAGTTAAGAAAATTTACTTAAGAATAAAAGCGATTTATTAGAAATGAAAAAAAATTTGGATAATCTGCATTTAAAAAAAATGATTCATGTACAAAATAATAAAAAACCGAGAATCATCGGAACTCCAGATTATATTGCGCCTGAAATTTTAAATGGGAAAGGATTGAAAAACTCTGCATGTGATTGGTGGAGTGTTGGTGTTATTTTGTTTGAAATGTTAATTGGTACATTTTTTAATTTAACAAAAAATAATAATAAATATATATAAAGGTATACCACCATTTAATGACGATTCAGTAGAAAAAATATTCGATAATATCAATAATAATAGAATTCCTTGGGATGATATACCTGTAGGTAATAAAGAAGATTAAATAAGTGAAAATGCTATAAATTTATTAAAGGGGATTCTAGAACCAAATCCTGATAAAAGATTCGGAGTAAAAGAAATTAAAAAGCATCCATTTTTTAAAGATGTAAATTGGTTAAATCTATCAAAAACACCACCTCCTATAGTCCCTCAAGTCAAAAATTTGTTTGATACTTCTAATTTTATGAAAGGAATTATATTCATAGAAGGAGAATAAACGGACCCTTTTTTTGGTTTACCTTAAAAAACTGAATAAATGAATGAGGCTAAAAAAATGCTTAATTAATAAAGATTTTAAGTAAAAAGATATGATGTTTTATTTTAAGAAAATTAAAAGCAAGTGGATTAAATTGATGAATAAATGTAATTTGATTTAATTATTATTTAATTTTTATTTTAATTTTTTAAATAAAAGAAATGAAATAATGTAATAAATGTAGAAAAATCAATAAGAAATATAAAATTTAGAAATTAATTACAAAGATGAAAAAATTGAAAATAATTTTTTTTGAAATTCGATTCTCTAGTATTATATCTTTTTAAAATAAAAAAAAAATTAAGAAATAAATTTAGTAATCTTAAAAATAAATAATTATAAATTATTAAAATAAATAATTTTAAATTATTAAAATAAATATTTTTTATTTATTATTTTTTGAGTTTTAAAACTAAGTTAATATTCGAATGAAAATATATATAGCACAAAATGCTTTAATTTAAATAATAAATTAATAATATTTTTTATTTCTATTTTATTTTTATTGAATTATATCATCATATCAATTTTTTAACGCACCAAGAGGTAAAATTATTGTACCATATGTTTAATTTAAAATTTCTGCAATGCCAATATAGATAGCTAATAAGCCACAGAAAATACCATCTACACCAGCTGCTCTCTAAAGTATAGCATTTTAAGCATAAAAATGAATTGACAGAAGCATGAAAAGAATAAAAAGTGTGAAAAACAATATTTTGAGTGCTCTATTTGATCTTTTTAATGTCGCAATTAGCATTCCTAAAGTAAAAATTCCCCATATTAGCATGTAAGTTCCCATAGAATTATTATTTGCAGCCACTACTGCTCCTGTTTTTGGTAAAAGTAATAATCCAATAAGACTTATCCAGAAAGATCCATAAGAAATAAATGCGATAGAACCAAATAGATTGTTTTTTTTCCATTCCATAATTCCAGCAATAAGTTGAGCTATCCCTCCGTAAAAAATACCCATTCCCATAATCATTGAGTCAAATTCATAAAATCCTACATTATGTACATTCAATAAAAATGTTGTCAAACCAAACCCTAATAAACCTAAAGGACCTGGATTTGATGTTGTGTCTTTTAATTCTATTTGAGTTTTTCCTTTAGAGAGACTTTCAAGATCAATTATATATTTCATTTCTTTATGTCGTATTTATTCTAAATTAGAAACCAATTAGAATAAGTTAGTCTCTGTCTTTTAAAGCTCAGGAGAGACTTTTTAATCACTATTTAACTCAATACCTCCTAGTTAACCACTCATATTTTTTAAAAATATCTTTTATATTTAAATTAGTAAAATATAAGTAAATATTTATAAATAATTTTTAATATATAAATTAATAAAATTTTTATCATAAATCAAATATTAAAGATTTCGCATATATTAAATTTAATAAAATTTTAATTAATTTCTTTTATTAAGTATTTTATAAAATAGATGATAAGTTTTTATTTTATTTTCTTAAAATCTTTTGTATCACAATTTTTTTATTTATTTTTTTAAAAAAAAAAAAATTTTCTTTTATGAAAATAAATTTATTTAACTTCTAAACATTTGTTTTAATAATATGATCATAAACATTAATTTATACATAAGTTTATAAAAAAAAATATATATAATCAAAATATCTAGAAAATAGTTTCTTTTTTTTAAAAAATAAATTCAAAATAAATAATTTTAAATATAATTATATATATATATATAAATAACTACTATTTTTTAGTATAAAAAATATAATATCATTAAAAGAGCCATATAAAATAATTAAAAATAAACAAAAAATTGCTAATATTATCTCTTTTACTTTATCTAAATTAAGAGAACATCTAATATAAAAATAAACTGCTAATATTATTTATTAAATGACTTTTATGATTTTAAAATAAGATGGAGAAAATAAATATTTGTGATTTTTTCACAAAATTTGAAGTATAAGAAGTTAGTGATGCTATATTTGATTAAATAGACACGGAAAAAATTCTAAAAAAAAGAATGGAAAAATGCTGCTCTGATTGTCTGATGAAAATGAATTTATTATAAAAGTAAAATTTTTATAAATAATATAGAATAATAATGATACGAGATGGTTAATTTTTTTTAAAAAAAGATAATTAATAAAAAGGTTTAAAATTAAATAAATTTTCAATTCTTTAAATATTAAAAAATTTTAAATAAATTTTTATTTCTTTTATAAAATAAGAAAAAAAATAATAAAAAAAATAAATAAATTTTTAAATAAACTAAGAAAAAATTAAAATTAAAAAAACAATTAAATATATAATATTTTTAACCCAAAATTTTAATAAATTACAATTATTTAAAATTTTGATATTATTGTTAATTCTTCAATTAAATATATATGCATAATTTAATAAAACTCATATTCAAAAACAAATATATTATATTTTTATATTTAAAATAAATATGTAGAAAAACTTTTTTTTATAATTCTATATTCAATTGAAAAAATTGAATTTAAAATTAAATTTTACAAAAACAAATACATAAAAGAATACTAAATAATAAAATCAAGTTAGTTTTTAAAATTTTATTATCATATTTAATAATATATTTAAAAAATATTGGATAATAATAAAAAATACATTTGAATATATTCTAATTAATTTTAATAAGATAATAACTTAACAATTAATTAAAATTATTTTAAATTAAAATTAATAATTAATAAAATATATTTTGAAATAAATTAAAAATAAATTTATAAATAAAATAATTTAATATTAAACTTGGATAAACTAATTTTTTTAAAAAAAATTTCTTCGATTTAATTTCTATTTATAAATAATAAGTCTATGTATTCCAAATTTAATAATTGTAATTTTTTTATGTCCTTAATTTTTTATTATAGCATATATTGTTTTTATATTATAATTTAAATTATTATTCAATTTTAATTTAAAAAAATTAACTTAAAGCAATAGTATTTACTAAAACTTAAAAAAAAATTAAAAGAATCAATTTAATAAATTATCATAAGTTTCTTTTTTATTCTAAATATTATTTTTAAATAAAATTTTATATAAACTTCTAAGCTAATATTATTTTAAATACATTTAATTAAATATAAATATAAATATATTTTTATAAAATAATTAATATTTATTAGAAATTAAAAAAATATAAAATAAAATTAGTTTTATATATTGCTTTCTCTTTCGCTTTGTTTTCAAATTTAAATTTAGAGAAAAATTTATAAAAAATATGTTAAGTAATAAATTCGAGTATAAATTATTAGAGATACTTTATTTAATAAAATAAACGTTAATAAAAATGGATTTTTTTTAAAAAAAGAATGGAAAAGTGTTCATTCTATATAAAAAGTAAAAAAATGAATAAAAATTATTATTTAATGCTATTGATAATAATAATATTTTTTTTTTTTTTTTTAATTAAAATATTTATTTATAATAATTTTTTTATTTATAATAATTAATTTTTTTTAAACATATATAAAAAAAACTAAAAATAAATAAAAAAAAAAAATCTAATCTTTAAAATGGAATAAATTAAAGAAAAAGAAAAATTGTTATATCTTCATAATCTTCTGAAGATTTAAAACTACTTATTTAATAATTTATCTCCTAGACATTATCATAAGTTTTTATTATTTAAAATTTTTTATTTTAATTGTTTTTTATGTTGTTAATTAATTAAAATTCATTATTTCATTAAACTAATATATATAATTTTTTATAATTATAAATTATATATTTTTATTTTAATATTATAATATTTTTATTTTTTTACACTTATTATTTTTATTTTGCAAACTAAAAACCTATAATCAAGTAATTATATGGATTTTATTTATTAAATTTCAAAACTTTATATGATTTTTATCTATATTTTAATTAAAATAAATACTTAAAAAAAAATATGAATATAAAAATATTTTTATTTTATCGACATCATAATATTAGTTATAACATTTAAATAAAAGCAAAAAGCAATAGTTAATTTTATTAAAAAAAAATGATAATAATTTAGTTGATAATATTTACTTTTTTTGTAAAAAATTATAAAAATTAATACAATTAGTATATTTTAATATTTAAACATTTATATTTATTTTTTTAAGTATATATATATATAAAATTAGATTTATTTTTTATTTTAATAAATATTATTTATTTATATTTATATATTTATTTATTTTTATTTTTAATATCAAATATATAAATATATTTATATTCATTTGTTAATTTTTATAAATATAATTCAAATAGTAAATACATAAAAATATTTATATTGTGTATTTATAGGTTATATAAATATTTGATTTGAGTAATTTTAGATTATATATATTTAAATTATGTATAGTTTATAAATTTATTGGAAAAAAATAAATAAATAATATTTTAAATAAAAAATTCAATAATATATTTGTAAAATAAAAATATATATATTTTTAAATTAATTAAAGGTTATATATACATTATAATAGGGTTTTTATAGGTTATAAATATATTTGGATAAAAT